ATTGAGTTTTTGACCTCCTGTATGAGTCCATACTTTCACATATGGCATAATAGAACTTTGCATTTCAGGGTTAATGTTGTTGTGAAGTTGTTGTTAAAGTTCATAGCATCTAATGTCAAGTTGTATGACCTCATATCCTCAACTGGTAGAATATTCTTCTCTTGGATAATATTTGCCATCTATGTTTATATGATATTTAATACCGGGGTTGTAGAAACAAGAATAGTCATTTTAGTTCGTCTTGAACAGTACAAACATAGTATCTGCATGTTTCATTGCAGTTGTTAAAGCAATATCTGTTCTTGCACCTGGGTCAGCACTTTGGTTTCCAACTTCACCTGCAAAGTCTTTGACAGATATTTGGTGTATAGGGAACATAAGTGGAACTGCAATATATTTGGCAGCTAAAGCATTTGAAATATCTGGGTCAACATATAGACTGCAAGTCTGCTTTCTATTTCTTTGCATTCAAATTTTTCGCATGTGAACTTAACTGGGTCCCAAGCATCTCCAGCAGCATTGAAATAATAGTTTACTTCAGTGTTGAGGTTTGAGAAACCAAAGTCTAAGTCAACTTGCCTTTGCAAAATTCGGCGAATGACGTTTTATTTGTTCCCACTACGTCTGTAGATGAATGGGTCTTGCGTTGGTGCAATGACTAAGTTATTTTTGCTTGGAGTAAGTTCGATAGAAATTTTTCCTGCCCAGTTTGGCAAGTATCTTAAAAACCTGAAGATGAGGAAAGATGACAAAGGAACTCTAAGTTTCAGTTTTACTTGGTTACTGCTGCTGCAGTTTGTCCAGAAAGGTTAACATAAACTCCTGGAACGTTAGGGTCAAGTCTTCTTATTTTCTCAATAGTTGCATACTGGTCTGTTTGTTCTCTAGCTTGTGGTTGTACTGAGTTTCTCAAAGCGAACCATTCATAGTTTGCCCATGTTACTGTTTGAACTAAGTCAGAGTTAGAATATATCTTATATCCCATGAAAACTTCTGGAGCATATTGGTATCCGACATAGAAATTCCATTGCAACCTTTCTTGTCAGACAACTTGGCAGAAGGTTTTATTTCAATGTCTTGTTCCACGTATAAGAATGAGTTGTCAATAGAAATAATATGAAACCTGTCGCAAGCAATATCTACTGTTGTTGAAGAACCTTCTCCAAACTCACCTACGTTTCCATAAGAAACAGCAGTTGTATATTCGTAAGTTCCAGGAACTATTTCTGACCTTCTAATGGCATTGTCGCATTCGTTATACCATTCGGAAACATTTCCATTCATGGCATCCAAAACTGTTGGCGTTATATTCTGAGCGGCGTACATTTCATATGGGTAAAAATATAGAATAGTTGGATTTATATATCATAATAGAACCCACGTGGTACAAGCTTTACTTTGTTCTACTCTTCTTCTTTGGTGTCGCTTTTGGTAACTTGCCCTCTGCTTCAAGTTGTTGCATCTTTGCCTCATGTTCATCTAGTATGTTGCAAATTTTCCATGCCCTTTTTGCTTTTTGGCTCTGGTCGCCCATCTCAGGTAACCTATATCCTAGAAAGAGTTTGTCATAGTTTGTATTTGAGTCGTCGCTTATTGTTTGCATGACTCTGTCCTGAGTTTCCGGTTCAAGCTCTTCAAACAGTGCCTGTCCATATGGAATAAGCTCGTTTCCAAATATATGTTTTTGTAGCCATTCTGGTTTCTTTCCATGTTACCAACTATATCTTTTTGAATGGGAAAGCTTTTACCCAATCTTTCAGTCTTGCGTCGTTTATTTCTGTTATTGGTTTTATATTGTCAAGGAACATGTTTTTCAATACTAAACTTTCATTTGGTACTGTCCATTTGAGTTTTCTTAAATATTCATCCCTTCTCGATTCATCGTCTGCAAAGTAAGTTTTTATGACATTTTGTAAACTTTCGTTTGCAAGGTCATGTACAATAGGTTCTCTTCCTTCTCTCTCCCTAACTTTCTTTCTAAACTCTTCACCAAATATACCATCTCTATGGTTCTGTGTAGTTCTTTGAGATAAATGTTCTAGAACGTCAGGTGTTATATTTCCATCAGCCATGTTCATTTCATACTGGTCCAAATATTCTGCATGTTTCATATCTTTCAATGGCATTAAAGCCGCGCTTAAAATACCAGCTATATCTCGTTCACCATTGACTTCCATTGCGTCTACAACTTCTTGGATTGTGGTTGTAAGTTTATGAACCACCTATCCGGATTAGCTTTATGACCCATCTCATTGTAGTTCCATCGTCTGCAGAAACAAAAGTGGTTTGTTTCCATCTTGGTTAGGTTCTGAATGAACTTTAAACAATGTTTCATTTCTATATGTTTTCTTGAAATTTAACCTTTTATTTTCACCGAGTTCATCCGAAGATTGAACGTAAAATGCTCGTAAGTAAAAGGGTTGTTGTATTTGTGTACATTTTTTTTCAGTTCTTCCATTCTATGCTGGATATTTTCATCTGATGTTGGAGTCTTTTGTATGTCGGCAAACATTTTTCATATTCTTCTACTATGTCAGCCGAATTTTTTAGACTCTTGGAAAGATTCCATATTCTCCGCATACACTTGTTGAGGGTCAAGATTTTTCGGCTGTTCCAAATCTTCATCTAGTTCTGTGAAGTTAGTTTCCAAAGGAGGGACTTGTTCGTTTCCTTCAGGCTCTTCTAGCTGTTGTTGCTGAACTATTTCTTCCATGTCTGGTTGTATCTGAACTTCTTCCTGTGGAGTTTCTTGTACCTCATCTGCTGGCATTTCATATATTCCGAGACCGTTTTTAACAAGTTCCCTATTTAAGCCATCCGCATTCAAACCCTTCTTCTTTCGTTCCGTCTCTATTTTTTACGCGTTTCATGAAGATAGTTGAATTATCATTTATTCTCTGACACCAAATATCTCGGAGTAAATTCATCCATGTCATTTGGATGATATGCTATTAAATCATATCCCTTAGCGAGCTTGTATTTTCCAGGTTTGAAATTATATCCCATTTTGGTGCTGAACATAAAGCTAAATAGGTTCGGGTCAGTATTTCCTTCCTTGAACTTTCTAATAGCTTCTTTATATCTGTCACTAAAGTCAAGAGTATCTGGGTAACCATAGTCTTCTTTAAGCATTTTTAAGAATTCTTGGTTTCCTTGTTCTCTACTTCTTTTATGTCCTTGCTCTGGTTGTGGAGGTGGTTGTTGTGCAGGGTTTTGAACTGTTGGTTGGTTGCAGGGTTTTGAACTGTTGGTGTTTGTGCTGGTTGTGGAGGTGGTTGTTGTGCAGGGTTTGAACTGTTGGTTGTTGGTTGGTTTTGGTGCATGCCTGTGTCTATGTCCATGTGACGATGTAAATTTTTAGGTAGTCCTGGTGCAGGTGCTTCTCTTGGAGGGTTTGGTGGTATATAAGTTCCACTAGCTAGTATATAAGTTCCACCAGCTGGTATATAAGTTCCACCAGCTGGCACATATGTTCCATCTGCAGCGTAATGTCCTACCTGACTTTTCGTTCTTAAGAAAGCATTTACTAGGTCTGTTTTGGTCTGTTGTAACTCTTTTTCTTGACTTTCCACAACAGTTGCTCTAACGGCGTCATAGGCACTTTGAACTGCCTGTCTCGTTGCTGCATCTGTTATTTTCGTCATATTTTGTGCTACTTCTTTTAACTCTTTGTCGAAACCTTCAGACTTCAGTTTCTTTCCAGATGAGAAGTCGTTCACTTGTTTCACCTTACTATGAAGAGCTTCGAAGGCGTTCTTAAAGTCAGCATTCGTTAAAGCTTCATTTGAACTGTCTTCATCCGCTTGTATTTTTGTCCTTATTGACCCTATGAGTTGGGCTGCTTTAGCGTTGGCTTGGGCATCTAACCAGTCATTGTTAGCTTTTATATATTCTGCGCTTTTCATTGCCTTTTGCATGGTGCGTCGTTATTTTTACTTTTTGTGCTAAGTTTTCATACTGTACTTTGGTTTTGCAACTGTAAAAGTTTTTCTGCCTTTACATTTGCTTCAACTTCTTTTTTATACTCATCGCTATCCATATATGTCTTCATGGCTTTTTGTTTTATCTCTCATCTTTCAGTACTTTATATTGAGTAGTATGGTTTTTCAAATTTATGACATCTTGTTCCATTTTTTACTTCTGCTGCTTTTTCTGACACTTTTTTCGCATATTCCTCTGTACTTAGTTCTTTCAGTTGTTTCTTCTTTCTTCTTTTTCTCTACGTTTAACTCATTGAGTTTCTTTGTGTGTCTGTCATATTCTAGTTTCTTTCGTTTTCACTTATTTGTCTCTGTATGTCTATGTTTGACTTTTTGACATCTGTTATTTGATTTTTGAGTGAACTCAAATTCATTTGACTTTGAGGGTTATAAGCTGTTCCGTCTGCAGCTCCACCATAGCCTGCCATTTTCGCTAAAAGTGCCGCTCTTAAACCTCCACTTTGTGCACCAATAACTCGGTTTAAAAGCATAGGGTTGCTTGACATTTGTTGCAACATAGTGGGGTCATTCATAATTTGTTGTTGCAACTGTTGTTGTGGTGTTAGTTTTACTATTGGATGTTTCAATGCTCTCTTCCTCTTACGTATATTCTTACGTAGCTTACGTGGCATTTTAAGTGAAGTTAAAAAGCGGTTTTTGACAGATGTTTATATGACACTTTTTGTTCAGCACAAAAAACTACTCGGTCAAAGTGTTGTCATTTTTGTAAAATAACCGTCCTATCTCCGTGCCTATGACGAAGAAATCATGAAAATTCAAGAGGGTAGAAAAGAGGTTAGAAAAGAGGTTATATCTAACCTTCTACCCTAAACATTATTTTTGTCTGATTTTACGAAGAAGTCTTGACAAAACATTTACGAAGAAATCATGACAAAACATTTACGATGAAGTCTTGACAAAACATGAAAACATATATAATTTGTGAAAAGCTCCTGGAAGACCTCCGAATAAAAACTTCATTTATGTGGGCTAGAAGGCACGAAGTGCCTGGAAGGACACCCCAAGAAAAAAAAAACTTCATTATACCAATCATCCTCAGGGCTAGAAGGCACGAAGTGCCTGGAAGCCCCACTACCTTTTTTTTTTTTTTTTTTTTTTTTTAATATAGATATTAAAGAGACTTTTTATATAATATTCATAAAGATTTTCCAAAAATATGATACCGCAAAATTAAAAAAGTGACGTCTTGAGTGGAGTCAAAGGTCGAAATTGCTAGCTAAATGTTTTTTTAGCGAATTTGCGTATTGTACGTTTTTTTCGCAAAACGAAACCCTTAGTTAAAACTATCTAACTTATTGTGAATTACCCAAGTGCTACTAAATGAAGAGTAGGTTATGATTTTTTGCTGTTTAAAAAAATTCAGAAAACCTAGGGAGAAAACTAGAGAATGATCATAAAAAATGAGTTGTTAATAGGATATTAATATCTCAAATATTATAAAGTATGAAATGAAATTTTCGATGTTAATTTTGATTAGATATTGCTTAATAAATATAATGGAAAATAGACGGAATATACTTTAATATCATTATACATATTAAAAAGTTCCGAAAATGTGGACATTTAAAATTTCTCCAAGGGAAATCATTCAACTCAATATCACAATTTACGAATAATTTTGAATGTAGCTTTTCTCACTATTTTATGAAGTTGTATAATTTACAAACGTGCTTGTTTCGTAGCCTTTTTGCCACACTAGCATCTATATTTAAACATCAATTAATAACGATCATTTTGACATTTCATTTCATTAATTAATGGACTTAATATACTATAAGTTAAATCGCTAAATATTAAATAAAAATTTGAAATCTTCGGTCCATAAAAATAATTCATTCAATCAAAAAATTCCTTCTTAAAGATTTATCTCAAAATAACAAATTAAACAAAAATCCTTAAATTTTCCAATCACTCATATTTATGAATTGAATACATTACAATTGATTTTGATAACACCAATTCAAATTCTAACATTCAAAAGTGTCAAATAATTTAGATCAATAATATCTATATCAGAATTTGTGAATGTATTTTTAACCATTTTGGCTGAATTTTAATGATTTCAATTGGAAGATTTTGCTTGTTTTCAATTTGAATCAAAGCATATATAGTTAATAATAACGATCAGCATTTCCTAATACAATTAATACTCAACAAAAGATATGAAATTATAAAATCGAAATTTAAGAGAACATAACAACATATAAGATCAATTATACAAGTGTGAGTAATAAATCCTTAACTGGAGAATCCATGAATCGGTCAGTAAACGATCCAACAAAAGGATCTGTAGTACCCGAAAACATGTACTCAAAATCTCCATCATCAATGAAGTTTATATCATCTTCTTCTGAAAGAACTGTATCACTAGCATAAGAATCATAAGAAAATAATGGATCATCATTATCTTTTTGTGAATCAAAATTCACATATTTTTGGATGAGTGGATTTGAAATCATTTTTGAGTCCTGGTTTGTGTTGGTATATGATTGCCTTCTAGATGGTCTGTATTGATTTCTGTTCAAGACTGCAAAACCGTATCCCATTTTCTCGAAAAGGGTAATGTATTGTCCGCATTTCATGCATACAATGGTGACTTTCTGTGATGTCTCTGGTGTTACTTCGAGACAATTCTCATCTTTGATTTCGATACTATTAGATCTGATTACAAAAGCGTCTTGTTTGTCGTCGCGTTTTGTTCTCAATTGTTCTGGAAGTTCCTCAGGATCAGCTTCGCGTCCGTTGACACATAAACAACCACATTTGCAACAGCAGCGACGCATCATCTGTGAACTTGGTATTTTCAGGAACCAAAAAGTGCAACTTTTGAATTAAGGATACTTCAATGCTATTTTTTTGAATTCGCGATTTTTGAATGTAAATTATGAATTGATTTACGACCTGCTTACTATGGTATTTATGTATTTTCAAGCCTGGATGACAGAAGACCATGAAATTTTCACAGAACACTCACAAAAAAATCAACAAAAATTCCTATTCAAAAAAATTTTACATCTTCTCAAAATTGTGAAATACTAATGTCAGTCAGGCTAAAAACATTTTAATTTTAGTTAGTTATTGATAACCATGATTTTCTGTTTCTCCGATAAAACTTTGAACTACGGTTAACTTTTTTTGAAAATTAATGGAAAGAAACTTTCACAATGTATTAAAGATGAAATAATTTTTCAATCACTTGAAAAAAATAACTATCGAAAAAATTGAAGAGGAAAATTAATTTAGCGAGGAAATTGATACCATATTCTTTCATTTTAGGAGAATCCAACTATTAATTTTGAGAAGATATACTTGGCTCAGGAAATCATCTCAAAATTAAATTGTTCGACTACCGGCTATTATTATACAAATTTATAGTAGACCGGGTAGAATACATGGGCGATGTTCCTAAAACTGAAGATGCATTTGAAACAAATTTAATTTAACCAATCGACCTAGTCGATAAAATATTAACAATATATGCATGTACACAATAGTGTATATTTAAATTTTATGTAATTGGTCTATTTCCGCAAGCCTAAACTTTTGTTTGATTTGAATTTGTCTTTTATTTCAACTTTGATAATGATGATTGACTTCATTGCCTTAGGAACTGAAAATCGCATCCATGTTACGCATTAAATATGATAAATCCGATACAAGGATTATCGGTCGAAAAAAAATTGGAAGTCATTATAACTCATGTGTTTTTAGATGCTATTCTGCATAAATGTTTACAAATATATCAATAAAATAAAAGATAAAAGCAATATTTATAATTTAATACAAATTATTTAATTCCACCTTTTGACTTTAAATATTCAGCAATAACAGTATCTGTTGTAACACCAAGAGGTGTTTGCTTTGACTTATCTCTGATATTAATCTGAGCATCAGCAGCGATCAAAGCTTGAACGAAATCTTTATTTCCATTAGCAGCCGCAAGGTGTAAAGCTGTCTTTCCATCATTGCCACGAGCATTGATGTCAGCTCCAGCAATCATTACCTTTCTGAAAGCTAACCTTGCATTCGGAAATGCTTTTCTCGCGATAGTAAGTAAAATTGTATCGCCATCTCTACCTCTTTCGTGGATATCGGCGCCGCTGTCTATTAACAAACTAAGTAAATCATAGTTTCCTACCTTAGCTGCTGCTTGCAAAATCGTATTTCCTTCCGGATCTTGACCGGATTTTTGTGTGGCACTTTTCATCAATAATTCGATGATTTTTGTGTTTTGAGTTTTAATTGCTGCTCCGAGCAAAGTGCCACCTCCTTTCTTAACGACTGTTGCGTCAGCTCCTTTAGAAAGAAGCAATTCAACCCATTCAAGCATGTTGTTTTCGACTACGTAAAACAAAACTGTTCTGCCATCACTCATTTTTGTATTAACATCTGCACCATTTTCAAGAAGCATTTGGAATGTATCGAAATGGCTGTTTTCGAGGCTCCTTATTAATCCTGTCATTCCAGCTCTATCCTTTTCATTAATAAATGATGGATAAATGTGGAGACACTCTTCAGCTTTCGACGTCATTCCGTGATAACAACTTCCGATGAATTCTTCGAAAACTTCTCTTCTTTTCTTGAAAATTTCATTTGTGGTCTGTCCGTTTTTGTCTTTAACATCAAGTTTTCCTCCTAACGACATTAGTTTATGATACAAACTCTTTTGACCATAAATTGCTGCGATGTGAAGTGCTGTTCTTCCATCTTTATCAGGAGAATTTATGTCAGCGCCATGTTTTGCCAAGAATTCAACAACAGAATACTTTCCTTGCATAGTCGCGAAATATAATGGAGTGATTCCTTCTTCCTTCGGCTGCAAAACCAAACTTTCATCATTTCTGACTGTTTCTAAAATTTGCTCGTTGTCGCCTCTTTGAATTAAATCAAATAGTGGATTGTAGATTGATCTTGAAACGACAGGAACTGGCATGACTTCGTCTTTATAGTCATTCTCCATCATCTTTTGGTTCTTTTCCAAATCAATTTGTGTTTCCAAGCAATTTTCTTTCTTGACTTCAACTTGTTGATTTTCATCGATGTAATCATTTGGATCGTATCTTAACTTAAGAGCTTTGCTTGGTTTGACAACAGATGATGTATCTTCTTCCTCTTTATTTTGTTCTTCTTCGCTTTCTTCTTCTTGTTTTTTGTTATATTCGTCAGATTTTGTTAAATAACTTCCAGAAGTACTTTTTTCTTTATCATCTTCTTCCTCTTCTGCATAAGAGTAAGAATAATAATACTCATTTTCATCTGTTGTTTTTGTTTTAGATTTTGATTTGGATTTGAGTTTTCTATGGCGAATCTTCTTCTTGGCAGGAATTTCGATTGTTTCATATTCATAAGTATGAGTTTTAGTGTATTCCTCATCTTCTTCTTCAGTTCCAGTTTCATATGTTTCATTTGTTCCTGTTGCTGATTTTGTTCTGGCTTTTGATTTGGAAAGTGATCTCTTTTTCGTTGTTCTAGACTTTTTGACCTTTTTAGGAACATCAAGTTGTTTTCTGACTCTTCTTCTTATTGTTTTTGGTTTGTCTTCTGTTCCTGATGTTGTTGTGTTTGCAGATTCAGGTTCAGGAACTTGAACACCGACATGGCGAACTTCAATTTGAACTCCTGTGTTAGATAATCTAACATTTGATGCTATCTCTGTCTTAGGCATCTTTCCTGATCTAACATATCTCTTAATTTCTCGAGCAGCGGCAGGTTTTCCTGCATTTTGTGCCAAATTTTCTGGAGTGTCAAATCCTTCAGTTTCAAAATAGGGATTATGTTCAATCAGAGCTTTGATTGCTTCTGTTGATCCTGCTTCAGCAGCAAAGTGAATTGCTCTATATTTGTTATTAGCTTTGTCATCAATGTTGACTTTGCAATTATCAAGCAAAAAATTGACAAAATTTGGCTTGTCGTTTTTGGCAGCAATGTGGAGAGGTGTCTGTCCATCCAAATTACGCGATGATGGGTTCAAACCTTTAGATACAAGAAACTCTGCTACTTTAACATGTCCTCCTTGGGCTGCAAAATGAATTGCATTATTTTCAGTCGAATCCTTTTCGAATAATGAAGATGGATTATCATTTATGATAGCTTCAACACAATCGCATTGACCAATCTGAGCGGCAAATAATAGAGGAGTTAATCCATCTTCATTCACTTTCTTAAGCATTCCGACATCACACGCAACAATGTTCTTGATTTGATCAGTGTTATTCTCGCGAATAGCTTGAAACAAATCAGTCATTGCCGTTAAACGTATAAAAAGTGACAGTTAACGCTTGCAGATAAGAGATATGTATAATATCTATTAATATTGCCGTGGTTATTTATAAACATTATTTTTAGTCAGCAAATAATATGATTTGATATAGATTTCATTGATCATAATTTCACTACTCGTGATATGGCATCACAACTATATGACTATGTGTTTCTATAACATTTTTCGTATTTTTGGAGAGATGAATGAATCAAACCCATAAATCTATAAATCCATTCTATGTTTCTATGAATCAATCCTCGTGTGAAGAAAGTTTTCTTCAATAATTGTGTTTAACAGTTATATTGTAATCTATTTTGGAGCTACTCATTATCGATTGATTGAAATTTAAGGGTTCACCGCTTTAGTTTACAACTATTCAATTTTCGACTCTTCGAGGTCTTTTTTCTCTTGATAGAATAGATATCATTCTGCATAAGCATGACCATAACATATCCATACTATTGTATACCTATTTGTCGTTTCAGATATCAAAAAGAAGAGATTTGATCAAAACCTTAAACATTGGAGTTTTCCCTGAGAGCCCGCTGATCAAGATTTCTCAAAATTGGTCCATCCGATGTTCATTTTTTATTGAAATAATATGTTTAAATATGATTAAGAGTCTATATCTTCATTATTGAAAAAAGTCAACAACCCAAATCTAGAGGTCTTTCTGCGCTTCACCACATTAGATATTTGAATACTTTTTTTGAAAATTTGCGCATAAGATAGTATTGTATCATTGATTATATATTTCATAATATTGGTGAAACAATAAGAATTACCGAAAAAGTGACAAAACATCAAAAACAGGGAGGAGTCTCAATTTTTATTACTTATATTATTTTACAATATTTATATAAATACTCTTTATAATATATTTTACTATAAAATTATACCTCAAATTCAAATATTTAAAATATTATTTACATAATTATCTCAAAATTATATTTTTATATATTATTTTTCATATGTATAAATCATATAATCTATATCTATGCAAATCTCATCTAAAATTTTTTGAAACAAACCGCTACCATTTTATAATGGTCCATCTTAAATTCATCATAAATTCTGGTACATGTTAGTACCAGAGTCTTCAAATCTCAAACACTCTGGTACCAACATGTACCAGACGCGAGTTTCCAATGCCCTCGTACGATTTTCTATTAAGATCTTCTTGAATGAGAAGGTCTTCATAGAAACTCGTACGAGGGCTTCTCTTTTAAATACTCTGGTACCTGCTGGTATCGGAGTCGACTTTACAGCCCTTTCCCCAATTTTGAAGCTGGGGAAAGTTTTCAAGCAATGAAAGGGAAGCTCTCGCTATGAGGTGAAAATCTAGAATTTTTACCTCATAGCGAGTAATCCTTTGTTAATTGCTTGAAAACTTTCTTCCAAATTATCAAAATTTCGAGGAAAGTTTCCTTGCTTCAAAGTAGAGATGGAGCCCTTGAGCCACTGCATATAGGTCAGTGACTCAAAATACTCCATCTCTACTAGAAATCGCCAAAATTTGGGTCGCAATCTTTGAAATGCGACGCAAGTTTTGGCAATTTCGCGAGGGACTTGCTCCATTTGGTGCATAGATTCACACTCTATGCACCAGATGGAACAATTCTTTCGCTGACAGCGGGAAACTTGTCTGAATAGTTTAACATTCAGACAAAGTTTCCCGCTGTCAGAGAGGGAATGGAAGGGTAAGAGGTATATATTCATAATGTATACCTCTTACTCTTCCATTCCCTCAAGAAAGTTCAAAAACTTGGGTGCAATCAGTTCTGATTGCACCCAAGTTTTTGAACTTTATATAAGGAATTGTTGGCTATGATGTACTGATCATGAATCAGTACATCATAGCCAACAATTCCTTCCCAAACAGTGGGAAACTTTGTCTGAATAGTTTAACATTCAGACAAAGTTTCCCGCTGTCAGGGAGGGAATTAGAGGGTGGGAGATATATAGATAGACTATAAATCTCTCACCCTTTAATTCCCTCAAGAAGTTCAAAAACTTGGGTGCAATCAGAACTGATTGCACCCAAGTTTTTGAATTTTGTATAAGGAATTGTTGGCTATGATGTACTGATCATGAATCAGTACATCATAGCCAACAATTCTACCTTTTAACCAAAGATAATTGATTCGTATGTAAAATATTAAGCTAAAATTTCTCTTTCTTTTAGTACACATTCTTCCATTTCGTGTACAATGTATCATATATTAAGTACTAGTTATCTATTCTATATCCTTTATCCCAATTTAGATACTCAAAGATAATTCTTTTTCAGAAGAAAAAAAATATTTTCTATTAAACCGTTATTTTTTCAATGTGAGTTTTCAATTTTATTTTTCCTTTTTGCTGCTCAATGCAACATCCTCCACCCGATCCTCCATGCGAGGTTGATCAAGCCATAGGATATTTAGAATATTCTCGTTTTGTTATAGCTGCAGAGCTGCATGGTAACATAAGATTTGTCAAAGACCCACAAAAACTATCAATTGGAACAGGAGTATTAATCTACCACCGATGCGAATACGAAGGCTGCCCAGCAGGCTTTAAATTTATTAAAAATTTCGACAATTACATTTTTAAATCTGCAAACTTAACTCATATTCACTCAGGACCACCACCACAACATAAAAATACACCTACAAGTGGTACTTACCGTGCTTGGATTAAAAAATTTCTCATGAATCACGGAAGTCCACTTAATGCAACACAAGAAGTCAACAAAACGCTTGAAATACCTAAAGATCATACTTGTATTCACATGACTATGAAACAAACTGCAATCAATCAATTGAAATATTATTTACAACAAAAAGATCTTATGAGATCTTTACCAGACATATCTTTAAATCAATTTCAATCTTTACAAAACTATGTTAATCAATGGGAAGATCAACATGATGACCTTATTTATTTTGACATTCAAGGTGAAGATACTGATTTTCCAGACAAATTGGTTTTTATTTACTCTGATAATGATATGATGAATTTCTGTTTATTACAATATAATACTTATATATTTTCAAAAAGACATTTTGAAAAGATATCTCAAAAGTTCTCTGAAAACCTATTTTTGATTAATTTTGAGAAATATCCGTATTAAATTAATCAATAAATTCATTCAACACTACTTTAATTTTTAAATTCAAAAAATTATATGTGCTTCTTAAAATGTCTCACAAAAATTTTATTATAAAATTATATACAATATTAAAAATCCCACAACATTTTTTACTTTACATAATCGTACCTCCTCGATGATTAATTTCCCCTCAATTTCTATCGTTGACCGAACTTAGCATGCAACAATTATACATAATTGGAATACGCGTATTGACTTTGGATGCAACAATGTTGTGGGATTTTTAATATGCTGACAAATCCGATCTTTAAATAATTATGTGCGATCCTTGATCTATTTTCATAGAATCAAGTGATTTGGAGTGATAAAATTACTGTTTGTGCCGTAGATTGTTTTTAAATATCAAATATGAAAAGAATGAATGAATACCATTCAGGATATTATTTTGCCATTTTAGACCATTGAATTTTTGGCGCCATCAATTGAATAATTTGGCGCCAAAACCGAAAATCATGATTTTAGAATGTCTTCCAAGAAGCCAGCCTCTAAAACACCAACCGAGAAGAAGCCAGCCGTCGAGGGCGTCGATGCTGCCAACGCTGCCAAGCAAGACAAGAAGCTCCGCCACAAGAAGCGTGCTGAAACATTCTCATCCTACATCTTCAAGGTTCTTAAGCAGGTCCACCCAGATATCGGTATCTCCAACAAGGCTATGATGGTCATGAACTCTTTCGTTACAGATATCTTCGAACGTATCGCTCAGGAAGGTGCACGCCTTGTCGATATGAACGAACGTAACACACTTGGTTCTCGCGAAGTCCAGACAGCCGTTCGTCTTGTTCTTCCAGGCGATCTTGCCAAGCATGCCGTCTCTGAAGGTGGCAAGGCTGTCGCCAAGTTCAACGCTGAGTAAACATTATTACTGTATTCCGCTTTAAACTAAAAATTTTTTATCCAATTTATGATATACCTTAGAAGGAAAATACATATTAAAAGGAAATTGTATTTGGTAATTAAACATTCTCCTTTGTACATGCTATATTAGCAATACTTTATGTAAAAAAGTTTAGTATTCAGCAAAAATGCTTTGATTATTGGAAAATGAAAATTTTCCAAAATATAAACACTTGGAAAAAAGAATGAGCTAAACAAATGTATTAGTCATAAGCTATTTCTATGAAAGAACTATTAATATTTTATTATTTCGAAAAAAACTAATAATAATTTCGTCTAATTGTTATCTGCCTTTTCTGCAATAGGAGATATTGGTCCATCAATATATACAACGCGATTGTCTACAGGTTTCTCGCGGAAGCAGCAAATTGTAAAAACAATTGCAAAAATAAGCAATGAAAATCCTGTTCCAAGAGTTATTCCTACAATGGGCCATGTGAGCTTGGATTTTCCATCGGAATCTGAGAAGCTGAAAAGGGCAAATAAAAACAATAGAAGCATCAAAAAAAAATTTTTAAAAGAATTACAGGTGTAAACCAACTATTACCGGCGCATAATTGTTATTATTAGCTATGTATTTCAACGCAAAGCTACTATAAATTCAAAGCCAGAGGCATTCAAGATTTTGAAATTCCTAATCAATATTTGTTAAAATAAATCCTTTTTCACCTTTGTAATTGAATCCAGCTATAGTGTTTCCTCTATGAGATAATTATCTGTACTGTTGGGGTCATGTTTTCATCAAGGATTCTCTAGGTTAATTATTTTTCCGTTCCTTATTTAAAAATTGAAAACAATTGAATTAAATAATGGAAATATTAAAAAACAAAATCATTGTTGATTTAAATAGAATTTAATTTAAAAATATTAATCTTCACAGCCTCATGAAACAAAATCTTTTGTCTCAGAAAAAAATTCAGAATCTTCTCAAACACACCCGTAAATTAATGATTTTTTGTTTATTTGTCAATCGGATCTTTTCCTTTCAGCAAGATGAACTTCTGGTTGGAGGTGCATCATGCAAAAGAAACCTATTTTGGTCTCAATCTGTGCCTGGTATTCAAACATGTCAAACACGTAAATTGAAACCTTTAAAACGTTGCTTTGGGGAAAGAAAGCAGAGTGTATTATTAACAGATATAGCAAATGAAAGTAATTCGCATTGTTTTTGTTCATTTACTCCAAAAGAAAAAATACAAATTAAATATTTAGCAGAAGAGGACTCCTATCTAACTTTTTACTATCGAAATACTACTACGCAAGTTAAGATGTTTAATATAACTCAAAATGATATGCAAATTTACACTCAATACCACTTGGTCGTTGATAATTCTAGCAATTTAGTTTCGATTTCTCCAAAAAGCCCAAAATCAATCAATTTAGATGAAAATATTAGTTTCTCATTTACTATTGAACGAAATTCGACACATTTAATTAAATTACAAAATCATCCTAATTATTTCACGACAAAAGTACTCATTATCTTACTATTTGTTTTAGTACTGTTTGTGTTCTTTGGAATTCAGATACTCAGACATCAAAATCAGAATATTTCCTATCAAACAATTTCCCAAATATGGAGACAGCCAGATTTTTCTGCAATCGAACTCGCGGTGACAACATATGGCATAGGTGTTATATGTTCTTGTATTGTTTATCTATCATTACTACCTACAAAACAAGAACATTTTCTAAAAATTATCAATTCTGGTATGGTAGGGTTCATTTTGCCATCAATAATAAGAGTAGTTCTTTCAAAGTATATAGGAGAATATCGAAATACAGTTCATTTATCATTTGCTCCAATGATTTATAATATATTTTTCATTCTTCCTTTATCTGGAGCCAACTGGTTTGGATCTATATTTTACAAGTCATTAAGAGGATATGGAGGTCATCTTTCCCTACTTATTTCGTTTATTTTATCTTCATTAATGGTATTTGTTTGTAAAATATCAGGAAGAATAGGAAAACGCATAAAAATCAACCAAAGAACAGATACTTCCATCCTGATCGAGCGTCCAAGGCAAGAATTATGCAGATTTTCTTATAGAGAAATTATTTCAATATTTTGTTATGTTATAGTCGGATATTTAGTTGGACAAGATATACTTAGATGTGCTTATGAATATTATTTATTGAACATGCCTCTAGATGTTCATTTTATTATAGATAGAGTTATTATTTTTATTTTCGCTTCCTCGACGATTGCAGGTATCAGAACATTTATAATATACAAATACGATATTCCTGCTTCATGGATGTCAGGAAATGTTACACAAAACTTTTTACTTGCATTAACTGTCGGAATGAGAGAAGTTGTGCGATTATTTGTAGATCTATTGTATAATTATCACTTTGAAGCTAGCGTGTACTACGCAACTTGCGTAATGTCTACAATTGGACTTGTTATTGGAATTGGCGCTGGTTTCTCATTGATTATATCGTTTATTATAACGTTTGCTGTTTTTAATAGAGATGATGTTCAAGTACTTGAAACGGAATAAATAAAAGTATATATTTTTATATGGATTTTTGGGACTTTGAAAAATATTTTTTTCTATTGAAAACGATTATTTTTAATTGAAAATTGTGTTTACAAAAAAAATTACAATAACTATTAATTAAAATCATCTATCATTCCATATTTTTTATATAATACGCGCCCGTAAAAGTTATGTAAAACAATATTTGGCAATTTGTCAATTCTGGATATGTTATTGTTTTCTCTGTTCTTGTGCATCCCATATTTTCCATTTAGAATTGCTCGTTATGAAAAATAGCTTCGAATCGAAAGAATTCGAAACGAATAAACTTTTAAACCAGCATAGTTCTATGCCATGATGTTACTCCTTTAGTTATTAAATAATTAAACGATGAAAAATCGAGAAATTCTACAACATAAAAAAAAATAATTCAATGAGTGACGAAAGTGATAGCGATCCAGCATCAGGGTTAGATTTAAAATCAGTGACGAAAAACTTTGCAACAGATAGAGCAACAAATTCAATCAAAATTCGCCGTTCAATGCTTGGTCATTTATCTAAATATGGCACAGATTCAGATGTTTCATCACCATCAAGTCAAGAAGATCAGCTTGCCGTAATAGCAAACATCGCACAGACTAAATTTTCGCCTGAAATCATTCAATCTAACTTTGAATCAGGAAATGCAGATTTAACTCAATTCACATGTGACTTAGCTTTGTTCATGAAGATGCACCCGGATGTTTCTATTATTACAGACCCAGAGCAAGTAGAATTAATAGTCAATGCCCTTGGATATTTCACAGATTCGGTTGGTATATCAAATTTTTTATACTTAATCATCATCCTTTCTTCGAAATTCGACAACGAAATCGTGGATAGCGGCTTTTTTTTCATGGTCAGAGACGAAACTTTTCAAAATTTCCCAATGGAAGTTCTTGAGTTTTATCAGACAATCTCCCTTGAATCTAAATACTGCCACAACGCAATTCTGTGCACAGGAATACTCTACGATATCGTTCAACTTTATCAATCGACATCAGAAGAGAAGATCATAATACAAGCAGCGAAAACATTCGAAACAATTATGTCTATATCTACAAATGAAGATGCCGACTCAATACGTGATTTAATTCCTGATATCGTTAATATGTTATCAAATCCTTGCGCAGAAGCAGTTACCAACATACTCCATGCCATTGTCGATCTGTTAAGAATCTCTACGTCGTTTATTACCCTATTTTTCGGAGCAAAATTACACGAAATTATTGCCCAATTGATGCCAATGCCCCAGCTCTCTAAACCCTGCTTGGACATACTCGGATCTATGTGTGTATGCTCCGACAAGCAGTTTCCGCTGCTCTTTCCCTTAGTTGAGATCGCATGTCAGTTAATCGGGGGTGATTTCACCGGGGATGTGTACTGGACACTTATGAATGCCTTGGACAGTTGTCCGATCATGATTTTACCGTTCATCGACAACAATTTCATGACAAATACTGCCCAAATCCTCAATAATTCGGCATATTCTGTCATGAGGGAGGTTGCATGTTTCGTTGCGACCCTTCTTGTCGTTGCTCCCATTGCTGAACTCAAAAATATTTTATCTCATAATATTATTTTGCCGATTATTGATATGCTTGACTGCGGAGAGCCTCCTCTCATTCTCCGCTGCTTGGATGGACTGAAGAAAGTGGTCATGGCCGCTTACAATGACACTTCAATCATTGATTCAACTCCAGACTTGTTCCAGAGCGACGAACTCGAGGAAGCACTCGAAAGACTCCACGAAATAGAAGACCCAAGAATTAATTCAAGGGCAATGCAGCTTATTTCGGATCTGGAAACTCTCAAAAAGTCAAATTAATATTTTATTTATCTCTTTATTTGTGAATAAATGTTATTTATATCTCTCGTGTAAATATGAGTTATGCGTTTGCTTTTTTAAATATAAGTTTTATATGTTTTTGGAAATTTCTTCAATTATCTTTGATTCAATTCTTAATTTAGGATTGTTCATAATCACATTAAATATTTGCAGCATTATGTAACAATTCATAGATAGCCACTAGATAATAAAGGATTATCTAACATTTTTAATCAAAATACACTTTATAATGTGTGCGTTTCGGACAATTTTTATTAGAAATCAATGAATTTCACTCATTAAATCAACTCATTTTGGTTTAACATTGTTTATATCTTTGTATGGAGCTGATAGTTTTCAAGATCATTGCATTCTTTCATTATACTATATCATTTCAAAATTCAAAACATCTATTTATTGGTGTTGCTTGTAAATATGAATAGTTCATTCGTGAAAATGGTAAAATATGATCAAAAATTGTGAAAATATGAAAAATTAAGTTTATGTTTAAAAATTGAATGCTTTATAAATTGGTCATTCAAAATATAATCTATAATATATATTCAAATAATTTGTTTTTGGAAAAAATTAAAAAAATAAATTTTCTTAAAGGTTAGAAGTGTCAACATCCATTGTTGCTGGTGCCTCATCAGGTATCATAGCCTCCTGGAGGTCTTCACCTGCGTTAATTGCGAGAGAAACAGGAAGATTGTTTGCAAGGAAGAAAATTGTGATAAAGTTAGCGTTGAGAATGTAGAGAACATCAGCAGCGAATGATAAACCAAGTTGTTGTCTCGGGCAGAAGAATCTGAGGAAGACACGTAAAATATCGAAGCATTCTATGTAAATGCAGGCCAATTCTGTAAGAATAAGTGTATAATCGTTGATAATCTGGATGTTGGCGACACCTAAAACGCAAATTGAGAAGATAATCAAGTGCATCGAGATTGTAATGATGTAAATCGGGATTTTCCAAACGCTTTCGGAAAGGAAGATCGAGGAAGCATTAAGAGGAGCGTAGGAGGTGGCAATTGATGAAAGAACAATGACCACGCAGAGACCAAATGCGATAACTCCGGAAATGATCCAGCTTCCGAAGATTCTGTTGGCCCATCCGTTTGTAAGACCATTGAACAAGGCCATGATGAACATTATGAAGACAATGTGGAAAATTTCTGGCATAATGTCGTAAATGTTCGAAAACCATGAGGCTGCGTAGTACTTAAAAAGAAGCCATGGTCCATCAATGCATACAGCAGCGATGGCGAGGTATAAAACTCCCCAATGATCAGGACGAGACGGATATAACCTTCTTGGAACGACGAAAATGAGAACAATGACAAGAGCAACGGTCATTGCGGAGATAAGGATGAAGAATGCAATGGAAATTCCCGAGTTAAGTGATGTACACATTAAATCAACTCTGCGGAAGATTTCAACGTCACTGCTGACGTATCCAACAAATGAAATTGCTGAAAAGTTCACGAAATTGTAGGTCATGACGTTGACTTCATCGCAAACCTTATCTTTACAGTTAACTTTACGAGAAATATTGATATCACGAATAGATATCTGCTGCATTTGCTTATTGTAAAGCCTTGTTGTGCCTCTGAATTTGATTTCAAAGTCTTTAACTTCTGATGCTGTGTAAGCTTTGAATGATAAGACTGCAAAGGAGCTAAGGGGTGTAAAACGCTTGAATTGAGCACTATTTGCTACTGTTGTTTGAGGAATGGCTAATGCAAGATCGCTTTTAACTTGATAATTTGTATTTTTTGATGAAAACGAAACAACGCATGAAAGAACTATAAAAACAGTAAGGCAAACAATCCATGCAATTGCCTTGGGCGTTGTCATCGTCTCTAATGGTGTTGCTTGCGTTTGCTCATCTGGAACTTTCGCACGCATTTTCGATGAAAATCTGAGAACGATGATGATCAATTCAATTCTTATAAATATCGGATTTCTGTAATTCAACAACATTCAATTGCTTTTTGAGTAATGGAAAAAATCTTCAAATGAGAAAATAATTGAAAGGAAATCGAAGACATTTTGGAACTTCTGACTCTATTGATGGGAATTAATGTGTAGCTTGTATTTTGGTTCTTGGTTGTATTTCGGTTGTGGAATTCAGAATTTGCGAATAATTCGATATTGCAAAATCCAATATACATATTTGAAGTTATAGGATTTGGAAATTAAGCTATATTGCATCTTTTCTGATTGTTTCTAATTATTCTATTGCCAGATCTTTATTTTTAAAAAAAAAAACAATATTTGTAAAAACAATATTTCATTGAATTGTTACTTGAACACTATCGGGCATTGTATATAATGGCATTTGGCATACATACGAAAGCTTATTTATGTCAATAATCCCGACGGTATGGGAATGGGTCAACATATTTTGCTTTAATGAAATAATTAATAATATATGCAATATGTTCTAAACAAAAAGAAAGGAAATAGGGTAATAAAGGTTCAAAATAGATAATGATGATTAGTTTTTAGCTCGTGAGTTGAGGAGTTCATTTTATTCAATAATGCAAAGCAGGATATATGAATATCCTGGCAATTTGAGGTTATTTGATTTCGGATCAGATTAACCTTTTTCTTCAGCGACCATTTATTGATCGTTCGTTCTATACTCCTTATATGATGCATTTTGGTAATGATTTTTATTTATTTCGCCATGTTACAACATTCACTTGAAAAATAAACGATCACGGGTATATAGTAAATTTTATTGCTTGTTAGATGCTCTGTTGAACAAATACAAAATTCTGTGAAATGGTTGGGGAAAATTTTCCAATTAATGAAAAATCATGCCGATTCGGATTTTTGATGATATAGTTCAATCATTTATATTTGAATGAATATCTTTTTATCATGATGGTTGAATGGCTGATTAATTTTTCCTCTTATTGAATTTATTTGGTCGATTGTATTTCATTTACCAGGTATACCGATTTGAATTCAACCATTATTTCAGATGGGATATTTTATTCATTTGAATAATCTTCAGAATCTTGCCAAAAATTCTGCTGAAATTGAGATGTGTATTTGACAGGTGGAAAAATTGTTATATCAGTATGATATATCAATCAACTTCTTAATTAAAATAAAACGTGCATAAATTTCGATGGGGAAAACGATAGAAAATTTTTCATAAATACGGTATATTCTTTATATACACGAATCTTGTTCATAAAATAAGGGTTTCGTTTTGCGAAAAAAACGTACAATACGCAATTTCGCTAAAAAACATTTAGCTAGCAATTTCGACATTTGACTCCACTCAAGACGTCACTTTTTTAATTTTGCGGTATCATATTTTTGGAAAATCTTTATGAATATTATATAAAAAGTCTCTTTAATATCTATATTTCATATTTTTATCGATTTTTAAAGTTTTTGCGAAAAGTATTCAATTATTTTTGCTATTTTGTCGGGTAAATGTCAGATTTGCGACATTTTCTGATATGATATTCAGATTCTACGTTGATAATAATGCTTATAGAACCCTCTTGCTATTGTGTCAAAATTGCGAAACCGATAGCAAAAATATCTCGCAATATCAAAATTGAGATATTGAGTGAATTATGCATTATAGAGATTAAAAATCTGATTTGTGAAAACATCTCATCAGTTTCTAGCTAATTCAAAAACCTTTACTATCTTATTCGATTAAAATGAAAAGGGAATAGTTTCATTATGCTTTAAATGACAGCCTTATAATATAATCATAGTTTTCGCTCAATATGCAGCATTTTTTTTCGAAATCTATGGTCAATATCCTAAATACTGATTGCTTTGCATTCATATCTCTTACATTTTCTATACCCACATCACTATTCATTGCTATTCCTATCTTTTTCATTTTTGTTTGTTTCTCATAATTTCTCAAAAAACATGATAACTTGATATTTGTAAATATCATACTTTATAACGTAAATAAGAACTTGACCTATTAAGAAAAGCAGTAATGAAAAGAAAATCTGAAATTCATAAAAATTACAAGTTTCTGATGACAATTAGCTTAATTAAACCAGGTACAAGATTATATAATGGCATTGTCTTACACAACGCGATGAAGTTATCTTCATACGGTATATGTGAAAACGACAAGATTATAGCTATTCCAGAAACCTTAATGAATTCCTTAGAGTCTAGATTTCCTTGTAATCGAAAGTCAAATAATTCACAAGAAGTCGCTCGTATATTTCTTACGAACAACCCAAGTATAACTGCGGAGATAGCGCGACTTAAGGATATAAAACTTTCAAAATATGATTTTAGAGGAATATCGTTTTATAAAAATGTTCTTAAACATTTTGAAACGACTGATGCTAAGTTATCAACTCAGTGTAAAACAAAGATACCAGACAAATTCACAAAAAAAGCGTTTCCATCTAGTGAACCTTTACCGATCTTTTGGAACGCCAAAATTAGGACTCCTAGGCAGATCCTACCAAGTAACATTGATCAGGAATATGATGTAGATAACTCATTGTTTGTTAGGTAGAGTTAACTCTCATATTCTTTTTGCATTATTTTGCATTATCATGATAAACAGTCTTTATGAACTTTATTATATATAAAACTTGTTTTTTACTATGAGGCCAGTTAATTTGATACATTAATAACTCTCTTTATTTTTTATCCGAGAGTTTCGGAAATCGCTAGTACTATAATCAGATTGTAAATGAATTATATTAATAAAATAATTATAAGTCAGTAAGATTATAATCATATTGCTAATTAAATTTCCTTTATGAGGGCAAAATAATTTTGAAAACAAATTTTTTATCAAACAAACAGAAAGCTGAGTAGAATAACGAATGTCATTTGGAAAGAATAAAAATCTCTGTAGATTGAATAGATGTCATTGGCTTATCTTTCATTAAGCTATTTGATCGGAATGATTGAGCGCTCAGACTGAGAGATTTTTCAGGAACATTAATATCTCCAGCTGAACTGCAAAGAGATGCATTTGTTCCACTAATACTTTTCACCTGATTGATGATATCGATTCTTAAATTGCTTATATCTTCATTATTTGCCAATCCATTCTGGTATTGATCATAAAGGTTTTGATATAATGAAATCACATTATCAATCTCCTCATTAGATTCGGGTTCCTCTTCTTCGGAAAAATGTTCTTTTACCTGACTTCGTGATTTAATAAGATTTCTGATTCTTTCTTCATCCTTCTTTTCTTTTCGTTGTTTCTTTTCGAGGTCGCTTAACTTTATTGCGGTACAACTCGATAAAGGAGGGTAAAAACTTCTTCTCATGACTTTTTTTTTGAAAACTGTACGTTTAAAATGTAAAAATAATTTTTATTGGTCAGATCAAAATAATTGGTCAGCCGTACATGCTGAATGATGGAATGCTTATTTTTGTTAAAAAAGTTATAAATTTTCGAGTGATTTTTTTCAATATGAAAACATCATTAGATGAAACGCATGCGAGAATTCAATCAAGAATGTTACGCTGTTAAATGTATTAACACTCTCGTTTTGTCATCTGACTATGCAATAAATGCATTATAAACAACTGCATATTCCATAATATATTTGTTAAATCTCACAACCATTAAAAATCTTGATGAGAATCCCTCAAGAACTAAGTGTTTTGATAAATACTTACATTAATTCGTTCATGGCTCTATCTAGGTTCATGAAACAAAATATTTAAGATAGATTGAACCATTTAGGGTATGTTTTGCGCTTCATATTTATAAATAATCTGTTTTCTCTTGAAAGATATTTGAATGAAATGAGATGAAGTGAAAAAATAAAATTGTCAAGCCAAAAGAGGCTCATTTGAAAAAAGGTAGTATATAATTCTCTAATATACAGTTTACTAACATACAATATCATGATAAAATTAGTCATATTTTCCGAAAATCAAATCCAATTTTGTCCAATAAACTGGTAATGGAGTTGATGAAGGTCTTGTAGGTCTTTCGTAGTTAGTATTTAATTTAATATCATTTGCACAATTTGCAAATGACATAGAAGGCTGGAGTTGATTAATCTGAAACAATTTTGGATTCAGCTCACTCTGATTGAAGAGTCTATCTTGGGATCTCATCGAGACATATTTGATGTAGTTTTCTTGTTGCTTCTTGCTCATTGGAGTTTTATAATCTTGCTCATCAAGATACATTTGATTTATTTGATTTTTATAAAAAAGTTTTTGAATACTTTTTATTTATTATTGATGAGATTATGAACAGGAGCATTTTTAAAGAAATTATGTGTTGAAGTTTTGATGGGACATTCAAAAATTCATTCAAATTATTTGTTAGATAACTATTCAATTATTAAATTTATTAATGAATGATATATCAGATATGCGCTAAAATGCTCGATTTTAATATTTTTGTAACGATTTAATATTTTCAAAGGACTTTTGGCAATATTTAATTTTGATAGATTGACCATTTATTTTCTGGAAGATATTCTTCATTCACAGAGGCCAAAACCAAAGAATTTAGAATAAAATAAAATTCAATCAGAGGACAAGTGATGGGTTTCTGACTTTCATTTCATCTCATTAACACTTCTGCACTTGAAATAATATATTGGTTTTGCAATTTTCTTTTCCAATAATTCCAAATTTAACTCTCAATAAGATATGAATGTTTTGACATCGCATTTCCTTTTTAAATGTAGAAAATATAATATTTCATATCATAATTCAATGAGGACTTATGAGAAATAACATCACATTTAAAAAGTCATATAGTGGATAACCTTGATTTTAATATTTCTTTATCATGCGTGTGCACAGTTGATTTTCTGAGGAAAACAAGCCATTTATAATTGAAGTGAAAATTTTCAAATTCAAGCTTTGTAATGGAAATCAGTAACGAGTTGTAGGGCGACCGACTCAGGGCAATTATTATATATCTATAATAACTGCATGATTCTAAAAAAACTTATTTATTCAAACTTTGATTCTGGGTACAGCGCAAGTTTCACAATTGAAATGAATTTTATATGATCATTACTGTATCATATTCTTTGGATAGAGATGAAATCAATAGTTTTTTTCAAAAATTATCGAAAAAAAAAATTATAAATTAATTACAGGTAATATAACCTATCTTTTACTAAAGGTATGATATCAATGTAATATCTTATTGTGGTGCGAATAATTTAGTTTTAGAGCTTTTGAAACGTCTTTTTCCACACATCCCAAATACCCATCAAATCAAAAGTGGCTGTGGTTCTCTTCTAAATATTGTTGCAAAGTCTGAGAGGGAAAAATAATATTTTTTTACGCTAAACATATATTTCCAAGAGTATGTTATATATATTTTCTGATCTCTTTGCTCTGAGTTCCCCTTTCTTTACATGCCTTCCCTGAATCTCTTCAACGGTAGCAAGTTTTCATATATCAATAGCAAATAAAAAACTTATCCAGGATTAATTTTTATTTACCCTCCAGATTATTGCAGACCAAAAAGTGCCAAAAACGTGACATTGTGTTTTTGTTTACGTCATTTGTTTCTTCTGCATTAATAGAAACTCATGAAGAGAAAGCCTTCCTTTCATGGATGCGCGAAAACAACTATGCATACATTGGCGAAGAGTATGCTTTCAGACTTGGTATTTATCTTTCAAATATGAGGTACATTAAAGAGCATAACAAGGCTGGTTCAAGCTACAAGCTTGAAGGAAACCGTTTTGCTGCTTTCACACCAGCAGAATATCGTTCAATGTTATCAAAACCAAAATCCCTTGCTAAGAAATTCGAAAGTGCACCATTAAAGCACAAGGAAGGTGCAATCCCAGCAGAGTTCGACTGGAGAACAAAGGGAGTTGTTACACCAGTCAGATATCAAGAAGGTTGTGGCGCAGGCTGGGCCTTTGCATCTGCCGCTTTACAAGAATCCATGTGGGCTATTTACGATAGAGGACTTGCCCATCTCTCTGTCCAGCAATTACTCGACTGTGACTACAATGACGACGGATGTGACGGTGGTTCATCCGATGGCGCCTCATACTTCGTATTACTTAACCAGTACGGCATGTGGATGTCCGATTCCGACTATCCATTCAAGCCATACGTCGGAGAATGCAAATTCGACTCTTCAATGGCCCAATCCAAGTTTGTACAGCTTACATACACAAAGAATGAGACAGATATGGCTGTAACAGTTGCAACACACGGAGTTCTCGCTTGCGGATACGACGCATCTGCTGCAGATTTCGAATGGTACAGTTCTTGTGTTTATGACAACCCAGACTGCGATCCATGGGGCATCTGCCACTGGATGATGATCTGTGGATACGGAACTGACGCAGGAAAAGACTACTGGCTCGCAAAGAACTCATTTGGAAGCACTTGGGGCATGGAAGGCTACATCGAGCTTGTCAGGAACAAGGACGGTCAATGTGGCGTTGACTTATTGACATTTACACATATAATTGAGTAATATTATTTTAAATTATTATTAATTAACATAATTAATTAAAATTTTTCTTACGTTTCATTAATATTATAGAAAAATAGTTTTTCAACTTAGCCCAGTAAGTTACAAATTTTAAATGTAAATCAACTCTTATGTATTTCGTGAATATTCCATAATAGAGTGGTTTTATCAAAGTTATTGATTGCGTTTTTGTTTTTTCATATCAAAATCATTACCTCAGGCGAATATAAGCAGATTTGAATATTAGTTTTCGCCTTCAGAATTTAATTTATGAGATTTTGGACATTTTAGTGGAGTATCTCCTATGCAACCTTTTGCACAAAAATATGTGAAATGATAAGAAGCTGCCTAAAGTTCAGATTTTCCCTCATTATCATTCTCATTGGTAGAAGGATTATTCTACAAATTCTTTATCACCATAACAACACGCAAATCCAAGAATAGAGTAAATTTTCGCTATGAGAAAGAAGAGATTGAACTAACTATTTGTTGCTGATGTTAGAACTGTGTGATTATGTTTATTGTCTGTTACATTAATATTAATATTAATATTAATATTAATATCAATTCTTTGTTGAAATTATTTTCCTGAACCTATATAAATATTTCTAACCAAGTGTCGTTCTCTGTAACATGATTTTTTTTGAATAGTTTACATAAATTTTTGATGCGTGGGATTATTTTTACAATGAAAACAAGCAACCAAATCCAATCACATGTACCAATTGCTCAATGCCTGTCAACAATCAAGAATATTTTGTCTTACTCAGTTTCTTCTTTGATTTCAAAAACGGTGCGATCCAATATTCAAGAAACGACATCAAAGTATTACATTCTGAATGCAACTTTAATAATAACACGCGTACAGATCGTGGCGGCAGTGTTTATTTTGAGTGCAACAGTTCTTTTGTTCAAAACAAAATTTGTTCTTTATCTTCACAAACAACTGTTACTGGTTCAGAAGGGGGTCATCACTCCTTTTCAAATAGTAAAGATTCAAGCAAACTAAATTTTTTCTATTATTCATCAATTTGTCTTTGTGGAAATGAAAAATCAGTGAAAACAATATCTTTATTCAACGGAAATATTTCTGTTCGATCAACAAATATCAGTCAATGTACAGCATATGCTGTTTCGGGATACGGACTGCATCCATTAACAGATACAACAGTTTCATTTTGTACAATTGAAAATACAACATGCAAACCTGATCACATTGTATTAGGTCATTATCAATATAAACCACATTTTGTTTCTTTTTGCAACATTTTGAATAACAAACAGAGTACAACAGAATTTGGAATGATTTATTGTAATATAGTTATAACAATTGAAAACTGTTCTATATTTGGAAATGAAGGTCCATCAGGATTTAGACTTTTTTCCATTGACTTTGGATATTCATTTACAGTTAAAAACAGTTATGTTCAGAGTTCTCCATCTATTCCAAATGGAATTACTACTGAAAATATCAAAGCAGAAGAAAAATATTTAACTTTATCTCATTTATCTACATCTAAATGCGAAGCTCTAATTCCTATAGTTAATAATGATGACAATAAAATAATAAAAGAAGAAGATGACACATTTAATCCAGAATATGTTAAATTTATTCAATCATTATTTGTTCCTTTATCATCTCCTAATATCACATCAACTTAGTTATTTAAAAAGTCAATAATTTACTTTATTTCAAAATAATTATTTTTCTGAACTGTGTTTTTAACTCCATAAGACTTCATCAACAAGTGTTTAAAATGAAAGATGAGTAAATTATTTGTTTATTTTTCATTAAACTTTGATAATTAATTCAGGCTACACTTACGCCCATTTGACTTTAATTCAAATTTTTGACAACTGACGTCAAGCGTCATTGAAAATCAACCTTAAACATCTGAATTGAAGGCCATATCATAGTGGAGTAAGTGCACCCTTATTAGCAATTAATGATATGATTCTAAATAAATTGACAATCATAATCTGATGATTGAGTTTAAGCAATATCTCGTAAGTTAAAATAAAAAATAAAATTCTTTTAAAAAAACAGAACAATATAATGTTTAACAAATATAACAATAAATAAAATAATATAAAATAATAAAATAAATAAAAATAATAAATAAAAAACTAAGTTTTTGTTTGTTCATTTTCATCTTCTTCTGATTTATCTTCTTCTTTGAGTTCGTTCTTGCGTTGTTCCTCTTGTTTGAGGTAGATTTCAAGTGCGGAATTCCAATTTTTTGCGCGTTTTGAGATGATTTGGAAAATCTCTTGTCCGGAGTGGACGTATTCTTCCATCATCTTTCGGTACCTGTTGGATTCGGAATATACTTTCTTCTGTGACTGAATTTCTGATGTTAACAATCGACTAACTTGGTTACTCATTTCGGATGGTCGGTGGTTAGGATGAAGACCTAAACTAAGCAATTCAACTTTAAGTTTAGTATCGTAATCAAGACTGCCGTATTTCGTAAGACCAATTCGTTCGCTGGATGGAATAACGTGTGTTCGAACTAGTTCGATGCTATCACTAAGTTCACGACGTAGTTTAGATGTTGGATGGTCGGAGTTACACCATGTTTCGAAAGATTCTTCGGAATCTGAGAAATTAGATGTCGAATTATCTTGGATTCGTTTGTGTTTGTGGTAGAGACTAATAAATGATGAGAAAAGTCTAGAATGAAGATAGTTCGTCTCGGTGCCATCCTCGTCAAATACAAATGCTGGTTTCGGAATGAAGATTTGTGATTGAAGACGATTGGATTTGCTTCCTGTAAAACTACTAAATACTTCTGAGTAATGATCGCCAATTGGTTCTTTGAATTTAGATGGATCAATTTGTGGTTTAGTCTTTTGCAGGTATTTATCGAAATAATTTATGTCTTTGACTGGTTTAAAGAATAATTCTGTCGTTTCCCAGATTGTATCTGCAGTAATTGCGCGAGGTTGTTCAATTTCGGAGTTTTCTTCTTTTTCATTCTCGTTTTGTTCTTCCTCTTCTGTTTCGACTAAATTTCTGCTGATATTAGACTCTTTACTGTGAATTATGACTTGATCATGTTGAAAACTAGGTTTTCGCAAGTTGTGGCGAATTTTATGAAGATGTGTAGTGTATGTATTCTGTATATTTGATGATGAACGGTCGACGAATGCTTTTAATTGAATAAGCTCTGATCGAAGACTATACAATTGAGTTAAAGTAAACATTTCAAGATTTTGCTCAACTGGAACGATTCCTTTATCCTTTACTTCAATACCATCAATACCTACTAAAAAGGCAATTGTCGGGAGGTTTAATTCTTTCAAAATCTCGTTTGGAGGCACTTTTGGAACTAAATTTTCAATGTTATCACCGGGAGTATCTGATGGTGGATCAGTTTCGAGTTTAGTCGGTTCCATAACTTCTTCAGCAGCCGACTCTTCCTCCATCAAAATCCTTTTTCTCGAAAGCACTTGTCACGTTTTTTCAATCATGTATCATTCATTCTCTGACACATTAAAACATATTTCTTTTATGAATACCCAAGATTTGATTTAAAATTTGTCAAAATGACTTGAAATGGCATTCCTTTGTGAATTTGCAGATATCTGGTGCTGAAATCAAATATAATTAATATAGTTACATATTATTAATAAACTTGCGTTAAAATATATTATGGATTTTATTGATTCATATTAATTCTGAAAACTCAAGCCTTATGATATTGACTGATATATTATATTTCAGACATTACTCAAAGTGTAAAATGATAGCCTATAAAAAACAGGCAAATTCAGTTTCGAATTTAAAAAATTTTGAAGAATTTATATAAGAACAAAATGTGCTCGTAAATGTTCTATGGCAAACGTCTTTTCCCATTTTAATTAATAAACATTCAACATTTATTTTTTTCTCAACAATAAACAATCAATGTAAAAGCAAACAAAAGCATATCTTATACTCGTTAATCTCCTATCTTGAAATGAATCAAATATTTACCAAATTTGAAATTCTGAAAAATTACTAAAATGAAGAATAAGAATGATGCAAATGTAATAAACAGAAATTCATCAAAAGTGACGGCTCTCAATTTTTTGACATTTGTAAATTCTAAATTGAATGAGAAAAATGAAATAATACTAAGCATAATACAATATTCTAGATTTAATTATAATTAGGAAAAAGTTAGTTTTGAGAGTACTTTTCATAGGCATATAGAATGAAATCTTCTGAAAAATAATATCACATAAACTCATATTATTGTCTAATATATAACTATTTTATATAAAAATCAAATTCAATGATCTTAAAAGCGAAGGATAAACCTCAAAATTTACGAATATAATGAGTGGGAATATAATGCTTATCTATCATAAAACCATATGAAATATTAATTTTTGCTTTACGCCTAATTTTTGACGACAATTAGCAAAAAATGTTAAATGTTAACACTCAGTCCATTTGAATATGAAAAATAAAATTGACTTTGATTAAATGTTTTTATTTATCATGCAATTCTTCTTGCGACCAAAGATTTGAATAAAAGTTCAAAAAATAAGATAGCTTAAAAAATAATATACGGTAGTGTTTACTAATAGATGAATAGTATATAAATTCTATTAAAATGGATTTGATCCAAAAAAATATATAAAATTTGATCATAAATAAAATCGTTTTAAATTACTTCTTCATTTAAATTATAACAATTATTTTTGGTTTTATATTTTTTTGGGAAGGGATATTGGAGTGGTGGTGGTGGGTGGTGGTGGGAGTTGGGTGGTTGGTGAGGGAAGGGATATTGGAGTGGTGGTGGTTTGGGTGGTGGTGGTGGGTGGTGGTGGTGGTGGGTGGTGGTGGGAGTTGGGTGGTTGGTGAGGGAAGGGATATTGGAGTGGTGGTGGTTTGGGTGGTGGTGGTGGGTGGTGGTGGGAGTTGGGTGGTTGGTGAGGGAAGGGATATTGGAGTGGTGGTGCCCTATAGACGATAGACCACCCTCAGAAAAGCACTTTTAAGGTTATTATATTGAGAACTAGAATCCGGATAATCCATTCATTCGAGTTCTAATAAGGTTAATTTTGTGATGTTTACATTATCGTTATAGGGCACCCTTAAATTATCACAATTATTTTTGGTTTTATATTTTTTTGGATCAAATCCATTTTAATAGAATTTATATACTATTCATCTATTAGTAAACACTACCGTATATTATTTTTTAAGCTATCTTATTTTTTGAACTTTTATTCAAATCTTTGGTCGCAAGAAGAATTGCATGATAAATAAAAACATTTAATCAAAGTCAATTTTATTTTTCATATTCAAATGGACTGAGTGTTAACATTTAACATTTTTTGCTAATTGTCGTCAAAAATTAGGCGTAAAGCAAAAATTAATATTTCATATGGTTTTATGATAGATAAGCATTATATTCCCACTCATTATATTCGTAAATTTTGAGGTTTATCCTTCGCTTTTAAGATCATTGAATTTGATTTTTATATAAAATAGTTATATATTAGACAATAATATGAGTTTATGTGATATTATTTTTCAGAAGATTTCATTCTATATGCCTATGAAAAGTACTCTCAAAACTAACTTTTTCCTAATTATAATTAAATCTAGAATATTGTATTATGCTTAGTATTATTTCATTTTTCTCATTCAATTTAGAATTTACAAATGTCAAAAAATTGAGAGCCGTCATTTTTGATGAATTTCTGTTTATTACAAAAGAAGCTTCCAAAACATGGAGCTTTCCCATTGTAGCTTCATTTTTCTTTTATTTATTTCAAAAAGATATTTTGCTTCAATTAAGAAAATGGTAGTGCGGTACACTTTCAAATTGATTTGACTGGTCTTTGCTAATGCTATATATATTCCTAAAATAAAAAACTTTCCTTCAAATATGTGAGCTTTAAGGGTGCACCCGTATGTACGTTTATTTGAGAGGAGGGGGATTACCCTCTCAATTTTGAGGGATTCGTTAGTTTATTTTCTCGATGAATATGCAATAAAATTTGATTTTTACCTTATCAATATACTTCATATAATATACACATGTTCATGTAAAAACTTTTTTCCAAAATCCTCAGGAATTAAGGGATTTTTGAATTTTAAGAATTTTTTTCGAATTTTTTCGAAAAAAAAAATATTTTCAGAACAGCCTTAACGGCTAAGATTTAGGAACAATGTTAAGTATCAAAAAGAAAGGAGGTCTGATATAGACAACATATATCGTTGAAGGTTGAAAAAATCTCTAATATTTGAGCCCAAAATTTCAAATTTTAATTTTTTGAAAAAAGAGGCCACCCGTATGTACGTTTATTTGAGAGGAGGAGGATTATATTTTTGAAAGGGTGAAACATTATGAATATGTTAATTATATAATAATATGTATTATTATAAAAAAGAAAAAATAAATCACGTTAAAATTTTTCTTTCTTGATTTTTTACAAAATCTACTTAGAATTATGCAAAATATGACTAAATAATTATAAATTTCAAGTTAAATTTTAATTTTGATAAATAATTTAAATTTCAAAATGTCAAGTTCAGTTCGACTATGTATGTAGTAATTCCTCAATAAAGTGCCAAAACCCTATTAAAATATATGAACATTTTCAACATTTTAATGTTTTTATTTAAAAATTTGTTGGAATATGAGCTTCAAACAATTATTATGTAAATAAAAAATAATTAAATATATGTATTTATTCGTATTACAACCGTAGTAAGTCGATTCTTCCTTTCTTCTACTGAGTTTTGAATTTGATTTCGAATTGTAAAGAGATTCAAAGGGAAAATACTAGCGGATAAAAACTACCTCCATGAAAGGGTCATAATGGAGTCAAGTTGTATTTTTTGATATTTTTTGCTTTTCGAGCCTAAATAGGTAGCCAAGATAATGCCTAAAAATAAGGTTCTAAATTCTGAAGTTTACATGATCCTCTCGTGTGCACCCTTAACAAAAATTGCTTTCAATTGATACTTTACTCATTGATTTATGCATCCACATTTGACTGATGAGTAATACAACACATCAAGAGCTCCATTATGTCAGTGTTGTGAGTTCAATTTAAAATGAATGTGTGGCAAAAACAAAAAAAAATTCACAACCTCGAATTAACTCTATCGGGAGAAATATATTTGATGTAATTGGATCCTGTTTATTATAAAAGTACTGAAAACCACATAAATTGTTAAAAGAAACGAGATTTTGAAATGAAATCTTGAAAAAAAGTTCTAATGTTTTATTTTTAATTTTTGGCTATAGCAATCGCATATTTATATATAATGTGGATTATTTTCATAGTTTATCTGTTACCAATTCCTAAATCTGAAATTTTCAATATTTTCCTCTAAATTTATATCTGATAATGGTAAAATGATTGAGTTATCGCATATGTAATAAAAGATGAAACGAATAATGATTAGGTTTGTTATCCAAAATATAAATTATTAAATCTATAACAACGAATATTTTTAATATACAAAAACATAACAACTACAAACATATATTAAGAATATTATATTCTTCAAGGAATTGTATTATCAAATGTTAATCTCATCGACATCTGTTTTGGATATCTAAAGAAAGGAATATCAATTGATTTGTGAGGCTTAATAAATATCTTTGCTGGAGGCATCTTTTTCTCTTTGCTAATAAAATCTCATCATTGTAATGAGTTTTACTCGCGTACTTACTTATTCCTCTTGGAAGCGCACTTCTTGAGATTATTGATATAAGCTCTGCAGCTGGAGCTCTTTCGCTTGGATTTTTAACAAGTGTTCCATGTAATAATTCTGAAATAGTCGGGCAAACAAAGTTTGGAAAGAAAATATCTGCTTGAATAATTTCATGTAAAAGTTCCTCGTCAGTGGTTGATTTCCAAGGAAATGTCCTTGTAACCATAGCGTAAATGCAAATTCCAATTGCCCAAATATCAACAGCTTTTCCATCAAATTGTCTTTGGGAAAGCATTTCTGGAGCCATGTATATTAGGGTTCCGCAATGTGTTTTAAGATTCACGTCATTTACAACTTCAGATAGACCAAAATCGATTATTTTCGCATCGCCGTTATTGTCAAGTACTATATTCTCTAACTTGATATCACGGTGCATAATATTTCTTGTATGTAAGTAATTTATCGCTGAAATAATTTGAAGGGAATATCGGATGATCTCGGATTCGCGAATATTTGGACCGGTTCTGACTTTGGTGAACATTTCTCCACCAGAACAATATTCCTGAATTACCATAATTAATTTTTCTTGGTATATTATTTTTTGAATTTCAACAATTGATGGATGTTTAATATGTTCAAGTATTCTAAGCTCTTCCTCTAGTCTTATTATTAAATTTTCCCTTTCCATCTTCTCTCTGCTGATTACTTTACAAGCAAATTTTTCATTAGTTTTGATCGACTCAACTAATAAGACGCATGCAAATAACCCACGTCCTAAAGTTGATAGAACCCTATATCCGGAAAAAGTTACCGGGATTTGAATTATGAACCCATCTAGATTTTCCTCTAAAAACATCTAATTTTCTGAAAAAAATGATTCTATTACAACTAATTCAATTGGTTTTTTGAATGATCCAATATGTTTTTTGGAATATAATTTTATTAGCACTAATAAGGATGTGGGTTTTTTGTTTTCTTTTTGGTTAAAAATTCTGAGTAGCGTTTTCAAACAAGGTTAAATTTTATGTTCTATTACATATATACGTTGCAGAAAACGAGAGAGGGTCAAAGTTGCTATTTGTCACTTTTCCACAAGAATATAATGGGGAAAAAGTTATCATATAGTTGATCTCATTCACTGAGGTGAGAGATGCATGTAGTGTAATGGGATAAACAGTTGGATTGCTGCTCTAAGTCCTAGGTACGAGACACATTGGCTTCATTTTTCTCTTTTTTATTGACGTAAACTATTCAATTTTTGTGTTCTCCATTCAAATTTCAGAATTTTTTTTGCAGATTTCACGCTACATTCGAAGTTACCTTTTGTAACAACCACCACTGCCTACGAAAGACGAAAGTGTGTCACGATTTCACCCGGAAATCCGACGGTTGTTTAAGAGTAAGCACTTTTGGCACCTACTCACACAAAAATGGCAATTTTTCAAATTTGTTTTATATTTCTGCAAAAAGGTTGTGATATACCATTATAAATGAGAAATCCTCTATGTATATTAGATGGTATATTGATCTGTGTTGAAGAAAATGGGCTGTTCAAGAAAAATTTCAAGGAATGAAATTATCTATGATTATTAGCCATTTTGAAGACTGATTTAAAATAAACTCGTCTTGTACTATGATCTTGAACTAGAATAATATACAAATATTATGGAATATTCCATCCCAAAACTATAGAGCAGAATCTTATATCTTTCTTATGTATTATGCTTGTTCAGTATGGTATAGTAATGGAATCATCAATTAGATAACATATAATCATGCATGATAACACTTTTTAATAAAAACCTTGCCTTTATATTTAATAATCCAATAGATCTTATATATACAATGTGTTATAAGATGGATAGTCGTCGAATAAATGAATTAGAGTGTCCTTGAACTTTGATGTAATATAAAAAATTATTTGCAATCGCAATGAGTTGAAGATATTACAATCTAATGAAAAGTTTAACTAACATTTTATAATGTTATAAATATGAAAGCGAATAAACGACTAGTTTGTGTATAGATTTCCTTTCTCACTAAATAGAACAAAATTATTCCATTTCTGAGAGACCCCTTTAAACAACAATAGTAAATTGAGCATTTTCACCGCGTAGAATGAAGAAGAAGCTGTGAATAAATAACGATGATGAAATAATTCGTGAGTTGTTGTCCGAAAACACTCAAAAAAGCAAAATTAATAAATAACCTGATATTTATTCTAAACATAAAAAAAATAAAACAAACAAGAATTAAAAAACTATTGAATGAGCTGCTGAACCTTCTTAAGAACGAACTCGTATTTAGCTCTGCTATCATTAATCATAGAAATCTTCGGGTTCTTATTAAGGAGGAAGTCAACACTAAGGACATCTGGAACAGAAGAAACAACAGGCACCGATTTTGGCAAAGTGAAATAGTCTGGTGCCAATGTAACTACTGAGACAGACTGTGATCTGAATATGACGCCGACCGTCGATAAAATATCGACTACCTGATATAATTTGCATAAGATCATTCTAAACTTGTTGGATCCGCCTGCAAAAATGTAGGCAACAACGCGAAGATCTATAGTAATTATATCCGTAACATAGAAGAACATAATAAGAGCAACAGTTAAATTTTGAATTCCGATAGAATGATCGTAAGGTTGTAGGCTTGATATATCAGCTTTGTTCGATCCGATAATTTCGTTATACTTGTTGATGAGGATAGATTTGAGATTGCGTAAGCCATGCCAGATAAAGAGATCAACACCAGGTTTTTCGCAAACGCCAAGACTCTCGAAGACGTTGAGGACGTCGTATAAACGCCTTCTTTTAATTCTGAAGCGTTCCGTAATTACTGTAATGGATGTGGCTTGGCCAATCCTGCTTTCTTGATATTCGATGAAGCATTTAACCGCTTGATGGAAATCTGGTCTTCTTTCCATATTTCCGATTGCGCCGTAGCCGCGTTGAAAGCTTTCTTCATAAGGAGCCGAATTTGATGGGTAGGTTGGATTCATCTGTATTAAAAAATATCCTTTTTGATAAGATTTCAGTTCTCACAAAATTTTCAAATATTCCCTCTCAATTTGTTTTTTCTTATCAAGCTAAAATTGTATAGAAATCAATATATTATGAAATGAAATTAAAATCTTTTCTTTTCAAATATAGAAACCATGTTGAATATGAACATAAATGCATGTATGAACATATTCGCTGATTTGGATTTGAGAAAGTTACGGTTATCTATAGTAGAAATTTATTTCTTCAGAAACGTGTTCAATCTCAAAAAGTAATCCCAAAAAAATATATTTAGATTATATATATGATGTACTATGACTTTGGTTCTTCATCAGAGTTTTAAATTGAATTGTTCGAAATTCACAAGAAATTGAAAATCAATAGAGATCAAACATTATATGCGTATTTAAAAGTCATATAAAAATACATTCAACATTTCTGCATTTCTTTGATGGGTTGATAAAAATATAAAATGTTGTACTAAGGCCTTTGTCTAGTATTTTTCATCTATACAATCAATATTTTTTATGAAAGCTCAATTCAAAAATTGAATCGCTGTCATGGGTATTAAGAAAATATCTGTTATATATTATGAATATATATTAAAGATAACTAGGTATCTATTGAATGTTCGATCACCAATCAAAATTCAATAAGTTGTTGGCCACTCTCCTTCCAGCCAACATTCGATACACTTTCTTTGATTCCTTAATAATGAGTTAGTTCTGTTGTTGTCATCTATGAATATCATTGATTTCCTTCAGGAAGTCTTAGGATTTCGATTTTTCTAATTGTCAACATTTCAAGTAAAATAAGTGATGGAATTGCATCACTAGTGATAATAAACCTAATGTGCTTGATCAAAAATGCTTTTTCTCTTGATAATCATTTTTCATATCATGTTTTTTTTTCATCCGTTAGGTTCCCGAAATTCTTTTCAAAAATTGAATTAAATGGAATTATTAAAAAGTTTATGTCATGTTACAAAATTATCGGATAAATATGATCACAGTAGATTGTTTCATGATTACGCAAAGGAAAAATCTTGAATTTTGAATTTTTTAATGTCATTTGATGTATAAAATTGCAAGAATCTTGTAAATCAAACACCTTTACCTTTCCACAATAAATTATGCATGTAACCATGTACATGATATCATTCCCATTATATTTTTTGATTGGCATTGCGTCATTTCAAATTTTATGATAGCATTATCACTCTATGGAATATGTTTCCATGCACTTTACAGAAAAGTATTTAGGTTTTCTTTATTTAATTTATAAATTACTATACTCTTGATTCAATTGTGTAATTCAAATCTTGTTCATGATATCATGATGAATTACTTAGCGGATATGTGTTACATCATATTGTGATATTCAAAAAGCCCAAAATTGTTGTATTTCTTGATTGCATTCTACAACTTTGATTTGAATTTCGGAGCAACATTTTTTCCTTGAACTTAGTGATCATGAATTTGAAGTGTGTATGATTCAGGAATGAAATATGCTCCATAAAATCTTAGTTAATTCAAGAATTTTTTCGATAATCAAAACCAAATATGGAAATGTATTCGTTGCTCTATCAGAATAGCATATAAATAGTTTTATTACATTTAGACTTGGATTTTCACTATGGTGTCACTATTGAAAATAAAACGAATTCATCAATTGAAAATTACGTCATAGATGATAAATATAACATTTTTGCCAGTGCCTGATTCAATACTGAAAATGATTTTGATTGATTTGAAACAAATTAAAAAAAAAATAGAAGTGAATAAAAAAATGAACTAGAATTCCTGGAAAAAAGTACAATAATTTTTAATAAATAGATAAATAGATTAAGAAACTATTGCTTGATATTTGAGATATGTTCGAGAATTTGAGTAGCAACTTCCTTAACGAGAGGGTCTGTAGATTGTTCCTTGGTAACGTTAATTTTAGCAACATATTCAGGCAATACAATGATTCCTTTGACTAATTCTCCAATTGCCGGTTTTGTATGAGAAAGAATGAGTATTCTTGCAATCGCATCAAGGCATTTAGCAACTAGATCGTCATCAGTTGAGTCGCATCTGCTTAATACGTTCTGTAATCCGCCTTCTTGTAAAACGAACGGTAAATTAATAGAAGTAGCAAAGAGAAGTACTGTAGCGACGAATCCTGTTGTCTGTGGAGTATTTTTCTTTATCTGTTTTGGAATGAAATCTTTGAGAATCGGGAATAATTCTTTTGGAGAGCTTTCAAAGCAATTTGAGAGGCACCAGTTGGTATCAATAGGATGCTCATCAGTCATCTTCATGTATTTGTCAATCAGACCACAATCAACCATCTTTTTGATATCTTCTGGTTCGCAGATACTCATATTGCCTGCAAGGGTAAAGCAAGAGGCTACAAGCTTCGGATCATCGATGTGTTTTGATAAATACTCATGAACGCCGAGATCAAGAAAATCTGCTGTAAATAGCTGATGACGGCCATTAATTTCTGATAATGTTTGGTATACGAGATTAAGAGCTTCGATATTGTTGCATGATAGCATTGAAACTATCTTTGGAATGAGAGGTTTAATTTGTTCGACCTGGAAAGGATCAGGGATGGTAAATTGAGCCATCAAAACCTTAGCGCAAGCAACTTGCTCTGTAGGACTGTTTGATGCAAGGAAGAAATCGATAATATCATCAATGATGCCAAGGGATATCATTGCATCTCGAGCATAGCCTGACAATACAGGAATAACTTCGATGAAATCGAGAATCCTGAATGGAAATACGCTTAGTCTTTCACGTAAATTAAACAGCAAGCCGCCATCTATGAAACCAACCGTATTTCTCTTAAAGAATGGATAAATGCATTTGCAATATGTCTCAACACCATCACCTGTCGTGACGAGAGAAATTGCTTTAATGCAATCATCGACAATCTCTTGATCTTTGGATATTTCATCGAGTATTGTTGGATGTTTTTCAAGCAAAGAGCGGATTTCGAAGTTAAACTGCTTCAGCGTGTTGATGTTATCTGAGTATAGCACATGATTAATGTTCTCTTTAGAGATGATGTCCTTTTCATCTCGATTATCTAACATTGATAGGCCTGGTTCATAGACAAATTCATCAGGTGGTGAGGCAAATGAATACCTGGACCTGCGACTATCACTCAGGCGCCTTTGCTTAGATGGTTCAATTGGAAGTTTCGCGTCTTTTAGAGGTGGAATTTCCATTTATATGAATTTTTGAAACAATAAAAAATGACTGAAAATTTCTATCGTCAATTTCTGTGGTGATCAATTTTTTTATACTGACCAATTATAACTGCAGAATGCTGGTTTTGTATGGGTTTTATGTTTTCAGGTTTTTCTGTTTTATCCATCAGAAACGATGATTTCTTCTGATTTTTGACTCAATCCGAAGTATTCAAGTTCTTTTGAATATCGTCGATTGCTGCTTATAATTGTGACTGAGAAAACCATATGATAACGATGTTTGGCTCAATTTTAAGTCGAAAAATGTTGAATCTTCTTCAAAAAGCAAAAATTCATGTGAATCTAGTGACTCCCTTTGATTTTAGAAGACTTGTTTTTTCCAAAAATATTATAAAAATTAAATTTTGAGATTTAATTTATAGAAAATTTTGTTCGAATTTGAATTTTTGTAATTTTTTTGGAATGAAATTTAAGGAATTGGAAGAATTGAACTCAGAAAAAATATTACATTTTATACCAAATTCATTTTAATAAAACCAAATATTAAATATTATGAGCCATTATCAAAATCAATTTGGTATTTCAATAATCTGATGGAAATACTTATAATTTAAGAATGTAAAAGCTTTAATTAGAAAAATATATAATGATTTAAAAGGTAAAAACATAAATATATTCATGAAAATTGAGAAAATATTTTAAAAATTTAGAAATGATTATCAAACAACAATAAAAAAACACATATTTAATAAAACAAAATAAAAATATAAAATATCTCATTTGTGGCGGTCAAAGTTTTCGAAAAATTCTTCAGCATATTCTTTGTAGTCCTGATTCGTCATCAGCTGCTTAAACAGCGTATTCAACTTCAACTCCATGAACTTCTCAGCGCACGTAGAGTACCTTGCGAGGTCAGCAACGACTGCCATTGCAGATAACATGTTTCTTCCTTTGGAAACAATATCATGTTTCAATCTATCGCAGTAGTCAATGTATTCAGGAGCAAATCCAGTTTCGCTCAACGAATAAATCGCGTGCAAAACCAAATTTTCCAATTTCTCATCAGAATTATTTTTCAAAGCGGTTTGTATGAAAATTTTGATCAGATCCGATTCCCTCATGTCGAGCAGAGCTTTTTTATCAGGTTCGATTTTTCGGATAATAATCGCAGAATAAGGAAGAAATTCCTCGTATTTAGCGATTTTCGTAAGTAATATGATAGCGTTCTGCGTATGCGATATCGGATGTCTGCATTCCTCGTGAGTTATCACTGCCAAAAATAATCTTAATGTATCGTCGAGAGTTGGGAGTTCCTGGACCATCCAATTGTTTTTACGGACCAAGTAGTTCGCGCCTTCACTCAGAGCGGCGATTTTGACCAAACAAAGATTCGCTTCATGATACTCTGTTGCGAGGTGTAGAAGGGAATTGATGAGTTCTGGTAAAGCAGGAATGTCATTTACGCGTATCAGATAACCTAAAGCGTGCGGAGCTGTTGTTTCATTGTCGAGATGTTCAACAATGAGTCCGTAATCGATTTTGACGAGTTTCGAGGCATAGAAATGCGATAACGCGTTGTAAGCTAAACATATCGTATTGATATCATCTGATTCTAACGCTGCTAAAAATATTTTCAGGGATTGTTTGAGTCTAGCTTCTTTGTATTCGTCGAAATTCCAGTTTAGGTAGAAGAGTGTCGAAATTAGTTCTGTTTCGCAGCTGTTCGTAAGGAAAATTTGAGCTTTTTTGATTAATAAATCTAAAAGTGGCCAAGAATTGGGTAATGACTCAAAAGACTTCGCGTAATAGGAAAGTAATACCACGGCTCGCATCGGCCTTTCGTTAATTATCGTAATCATGTCATTTTTGAACCAATCAGAAAATTTAATCGCGGATTGACTGAATAACACGTTGAATATATCGAGAGAAAGGTCAAGAAGAGATCCAGGTGACAAAGGAAGCATCTCGTGAAGCTTGGCTTTGAGAAATGAATCTCGATGGCATTTCCTTTGAATTATTTTCTGTAGGGCTTTGAGAACTTGACTAACTAATGCTATATTCGATGGATCTTTCAGGTAATTCTTGATTATCGACATAAATAATCTTGATTGAATTTTCGGAAGTTTTACTGAAGCTTTGATGAGTTCTGATCGAAATGAAGGCGAATGCGGATCATTTATTGCTTCTAAATCGATGAATTTCTTGCCATATGCCTTTTCCAGGATCGAATCTTGTTTTGATTTGTCCCAGGACTCCCTACGAGTTCCGAAGAAAGGCTGTGATCTGTTTATTGTTCCACGTGATAGAATGAGTGATCCCGAGCGACTGGATCTCGCTGGCCGTGGACTTTGGCGCGAATCTAAATTAAATTTCGAAAGAGAACCACTCGGAGAAGCTGGGGTTGATCTGATCGTATGCCTTACATTAATGGAAAGCCATTTTCCGTTCTGTTCGTATTCCTTGATTTTATCAAGAACAGTTTGAACATCTGGAAAATTCGTACCAGGAAACGTCACTTTTCCGGTTTTGAAGAGGTCGTAGATTTCTTTGAATTGAGGACGGTCTTTCGGATCCTCAGCCCAGCAAGATTCGATGAGATTTTTCAGAAATGGATCGGTTCTTTGGGGAAGACGTGGTCTCTGCTTTTCAACACCAACCTTGCGGAGAACGGAGATCGGATCTAAGTTCTTCCATGGTATTTCGTCTGTTAAAAGTTCGTATAATATCATTCCGTAGGAATAGACATCGACTTCAGGGCCATAATCAGCGTCATTGTGTAGTTCTGGTGCCATCCAGTTAGGTGTGCCTGCACTTCTCGTCATCGGTTCATCAGATGATAAAAATCTTGCAACACCAAAATCGCAGAGCTTCGGAAGCAAATTATCATCCAGTAATATATTCATGGATTTTAAATCACGATGTATGATGCCAAGAGAATGGAGATATTTCATACCATAAGCTAAACATAAAGCGATATTTGTACGAACAGTAGGCGTTAGCTTCTGTCGTCTGGTTTCATTACGTCTGAATCTGAATAAAGAACAATTTGCAATATATTCTGTGATAATAACTAAAGGAGATGTGACACTAAATCCGATAAGTTTTAAAAAGAATGGATGTTCAGCTTTAGCCATTGTAGTAATTTCTCTGACGTATGTTTGTAATGCTGATTGGCTAATATCGGTTCGAATTTTTTTGTAAGCAACTTTATCTCCTGTTCTCTTGTCCTCAGCAAGCCAAACTTCGCTAAAGCCTCCAATACCTATTTGTTCAATCAAATCATAATTACTTGGATCAATAACGTATGTTTGTAACTCTCCGCTAAGATTAGAGAAGAGGTCACTTCTCATTAAAGTCAATTTTATTAAATTTTGACACGAAATTTTGCTATTTGGTTCTCGTAATAAGAAATATTATGTTTTACAAAAATGTTGGAAATCTAAAATTGAAATGATAAATGGTTTATCGTTTTTATGTTTTTATATCAAATTTTCAATAATAGTATACCATTTATTATTAGGAATAAAATGATTGCCTTGGCTCAAAATTAACCGTTTACAACTTCTTGTGATATCGAATTAAGGGACTATGGATATCCAAATATCATTTAAATTAAATTTGAAGAAATTCTGATATAACGGATTTTTATTTGATAAGGGAAATAAATTGAAAACTTGATAACATAAACTTAAGAGATTTTATATCGGTAAATCAATAATTCATTCAAATTATTTTCAAACTATATTCAATTTTTCAAATAAGATAATTTTAATTGCCGTATCCTTTTTAAAATACATGTGATATCAAATTATTTATTTTAATTTTTAATCAAATTTTAATGATGGCAACTTTTTTACATCCCACAATCTCTTGCGTTAATTGGAACCTAAATTTCCATCAATTTGGATAAAATAAATCATTTGATCTGAATATTTTAATCGCTTTGACCTGTTGTATGAAATTATTAGAGAAATCGATACGAGTAGGGGTAATTTTAGCTAAAAGTGACACACCCGTGAAGGGTGTGATTACCGATCGGTAATTTCGACAGTTTAGAATTTAAAATTTTTTATGGAACTGTTGCGAGTTTCATAAAGAATTTAAGGAATATAAGCAAAGATTTGAATCAAAATCTTAGACCTAAGCCGCTCGATTCGCTCGCGGCTTCCGCGAATTACAGATCAGCAAAGATTTGAATCAAAATCTTCGAACTAAGCCGATCGCTTCGCTCGCGGCTTTCGTTATTATTTTAAATTTGCATATTTCCATCAAAAGTTCATAAGGTAAAAAATTTCGTTTATTTTTACTAAAAAAAAGGTTTTTGATAATAAATTTATTTTATTTCGAAAAAGTAGCAATAATCGTAAAAGGGTATTGATAGGCTTGCTAAAGTAACTAATTTTAGCTGTCAAATACTTTTGTATTTTGAAGTAAATTAGTATAAATTTGTTTTTACTTTTATTTCGAAAAAGTAGCAATAATCGTAAAAGGGTTTTGATAGGCTTGCTAAAGTAACTAATTTTAGCTGTCAAATACTTTTGTATTTTGAAGTAAATTAGTATAAATTTGTTTTTACTTTTATTTCGAAAAAGTAACAATAATCGTAAAAGGGTATTGATAGGCTTGCTAAAGTAACTAATTTTAGCTGTCAAATACTTTTGTATTTTGAAGTAAATTAGTATAAATTTGATATTATTTTAACTCCCTTTGAAAACCTCAATTTTCCATACAGAGGGAACGGGAATAGCATCCAATATTCCCTGAGAATGGTTGCGCATTCTCAGTTCCCTCTATATTTCGAACGAAGCTCTCATCGGTCTTTTTTTTAATACTAAACGTTTTTTTTCCCTGTCACTTTTAGCTAAAATTTGGGTTTGCCAAATCGATACCGAATCGTTCGTCAAGTATTTGTCGTAAAATATTCTAAGGAAAACGCGTATGAATATGCAACCCAAAGCAAATTGACAATACGTGAGGTTAAAGCGATTTCAAATAAGAAAATATGTACTTCCCTCAAGATATTTGTTTCGATTTGTGATATTGTGAGACTTTGGCAAACTGTAATTTGATATGTGTAAGTTCGAAGATCAACAACATTTTTATTTCAAATTTCATAATTTTCTGATTTATGAGTTATATCTCTTCAGGAACTTCCATTATAAGTCTTTGTTAAAAAGAAGTGAATCTATTCTATTAAGAAATTATACTTTTTTAATTTTAAAGCTTGTCGTTGTATTCGATGAGGACGACTGGCTTGATGAGATCGACTGGCTTGTCCTTCATGAGCATGAGAGCATCCTCAACCTTCTCGAGACCCTTGAATTCGTGGGTGATGAGCTTTGTTGGGTCAACCTTCTTGTACTTGATGAGGTTAGCCATCTTCTCCATACGGAGGGCACCACCTGGTGTGAGACCACCATGGATGAACTTGTGGCCCATACCAACACCCCATTCAACACGTGGGACATCGATCATTTCGCCTTCACCGAGGTAGTTAACGTTACCGATGACACCACCAGCTCTGATCATCTTGATAGCCTGGGCGAATGTGTGGACATCACCACCAGCGATGATAACACGGTCAACACCCTTTCCGCCTGTAGCCTTTAAGATCTGTTCAACGATGTCACCGTTCTTGTAGTTGATGATATCTGTAGCACCGTATTGGACAGCAGTGTCGCAGCAGTGTGGGCGAGAGCCAACAGCGAAGATTCTTGATGCACCCATGAGAGCAGCACCGCGAACGGACATGAGACCGACTGGGCCAATGCCGATGACAACAACGATATCGCCGAGCTTAACTTCAGCGAGTTCAGCGCCGTGGAAACCAGTTGTCATCATATCAGAGCACATGATAACATCACGTGGTGTAAGGCCTTCTGGGAGCTTAGCAAGGTTAGCATCAGCCTCGTTAACATGGAAGTATTCAGCGAAAACACCATCCTTGAAGTTGGAGAACTTCCAGCCACCGAGCATGCCACCGGAGTGTGCTGGGAAGCCTTCCTGAGCAGCTTCGCTACCCCAATCTGGTGTAACAGCTGGGACAAGGACCTTGTCACCAACCTTTAAGTTCTTGACTTCAGAACCAATCTTGACAACCTGGCCAACAGCTTCGTGACCAAGAATCATGTCGTGGCGTTCACCGATAGCACCAGCCCAAACTGTGTGGATATCGGATGTGCATGGAGCAAGAGCAAGTGGGCGGCAGATAGCATCATTTGGACCGCATTCTGGGACTGGCTTCTCGATCCAGCCGACTTCGCCGATCTTTCTCATAGCGAAGGCCTTCATTGTCTTTGGAAGTTCGAATGTCATGGGACTTTCGATAAAAATGAAGTCTTCTCGCAAAGGGAGATTAAGACTCTCAAAAATACTTTCAATGCGATCAAACCTTTTTAGATCAATATTTTTGATAAAGCTCAATCAATATTTTTGAATTGGGGAAAATAAAATTCTATGAGTTTCATCAAAAATTTTCTTTTTAGAGAGAACAATTGGCAATATCTCATTGAAAAATAGGATAATTTCATTATTTTATTTATGACCAAACATAATTCATTCTGGTTGTAATAGTATGTTGATTATGCATAAACATTCATCGCTTCACTTTCATCAAAAGTGAGTTCATTTGTGATGAGAAAAAGTGAGTTGACTTAGAAATCTCATTTATAAGCGTGTATACAGTGTGTTGTTTTCATTTATCGTAAATTCACTTTCAAAAATTATTGTGAAAGGCGATCAGTATTCAATTTTTGATAGCAGCGGAGATAATCATTATTTTTTCAATAGTTTAGCGGGATTGCCATATTAGTTCCTTTTACTGAGGATGGAAATGAATATAATATTACACAGTTTGGTCAGTTCTTCACAAATTTAAAATATAATTAATACCAACATAATTTCTAGTGGTATATTTTGGATTTCCTAACAATGTATTTAGTATTAATCCTTTCCATCCAACAATTTAACATTTGGGTAAACTGATAACTCATGTTTGGTCAATATCTTGAACCCACACGGATCGTATTATATTTGTAAAACTATAGTCATTCATATATTCATAACAATTTATTATAATTTTATATCTTCACGATAGAACGGTAATATCTCTTATAACAACAATGGTACGACGTCATTTTCAGCGCGAAGTATTTATTGCATACCTGCAAACTAGTAGAAATCTTAAATGTCTCGATTCATTCTCGAACTTTTATATAAATCAATCAAATTCCAAACTTTTACATTATAAGGTTTTGGATAAATAATTGCAAGAAGAAACCATTACGTTATATGATGTGATTTTCATGTTCTTCCCAAAAAATTCAAAGCATTATTTTTAAAATAATATAGAAAATGAAAATTTTATAACAACTAATGGAAATCAAGCTCTCTTACGAGTTTAACAGCTCTCTCATATCCTTGTTTTGCACTAGATTCGAGGTATGTTTTAGCTCTCTTTTTATCCATTTGAACACCTCTTCCTATGTAGAGGAGCTGTCCAAATAGGCACTGAGCTTTACTATTTCCTTGGTCTGCGCTCAGTTCTGCGTACTTTGCCGCTTCATTTATATCATTTGGAGCCATTAAGTTGGCGTAGCTCAATTGTGCATCGGGATCGCCTCTATCTGCGGCCATTTTATAGAACTTTGTGGCCTGTTCGAGGTCTCCTTTCTTCTGCAGTAAGACCGCATAATTATATTGACCCAAAGAAGAGCCATCCAAGGCCGCTCTCCTATAAAGATTCATTGCCTCCTGCTCATCTTGCTGGGTTCCACGTCCGTTTTCGTATAAAACGCCTAATGAGCAGATACAATCTGAATCGTTTTTCTCAACACCCTTCTTATAATGTTCAATAGCCTTTTCGTATTCATTCCTCTGCTCACAAAGTGATCCGAGTTCTAACATGGCCCGGGTGTCACCTTTTACTTCACTTTTCATCAGAAATTCTTCACCGTCAGAAAATAAAATTCCAGCTCTGAAAAGTGCCTCATCGTGGCCTCCTTCTGCTGCTTTTCTGAAGTAATACATAGCTTTTTTAGCGTCTTTTTTGACGCCGTTTCCTTCTGATAGCAATTTGCTACACAAGAAGCAGGCGTCGACATTTCCTGCGTCTGCGGCGTATTTCAGAAAAACTGCGGCTTTTTGACAGTCTTTTTTGACTCCGTTTCCGGATAGAAGGATGCAGCCGCAGAGATATTGGCTCTCAGTGTGTCCGCCTTCTGCTGCGAGCCTTAGGAAGCGTGCTGCATCACGTGGTCTGTTATATCTGTATAAAATTTCGCCGGCCTTGAAAGAAGCGAGCAAATCACCAAGCTTTGAGGCTCTTGCGTATAGAATAAGAGCTTCTTGGTCGTCGCTTTGCTTGGCAAGCTCCATAATCGACAAAATGTGATTTTGATCTGCGGCCATTTCGTAATATCGTCTGCTTTCATCGGGATCGGTCTGACTAAGCTTCAGACCAACCGAATATTGTGCTCCGGCGTGTCCTTTGTCAGCAGCCATTTTAAGATAATTTATTGCCTTTTCTTGGTCGACTTCTGTTCCAATTCCCTTAGCATAGCTTATGCCAAGTGAAAACTCACCTGCTGCGTCGCCTCTGTCCGCTGCAAGTTTGAATAATCTAAATGCTTCGTCCGGATTCGATTTAATGAGTTTTTCGCCAGCGACAATTGCGGCTTCGGTGTAGCCGTTCTCGGCGGCTAAAGTAAAGTACTCAATTTCCTTTTCAGGTTGAATTGAACCGAGATAATAATAAGCAATGGCTGCACCCTTTTCTGCAGCCTTGGTATAGATCTCTATGGCTGTAGCTTTATCACCGTTAGCGAATGCGAGGTTTCCTTTGGCTAATAAGTCATCGATGTCAGAAAACGCTCTGTGTTGGTATTCTGAGAGTTTCTGTTGATCTGTACCTGGTAGTATTGCATCTGGTTTCGAAAGAACCTCGATAATATCATTAAATGATGGTCTTTGCTTTGGATTATAATTCAAACATGATTTAATAAGATTTGAAAAGATTTCTGGTACTTGTGGTGGAATTTGTGGTAATTGGTTCTTAACTAACAAGTCAAATAATTGGCCAATTGTGATATTTCCGCCATATGGCGCTTGGTTTGTAATTAATTGATAAAGGATCATACCATATGCATAAACATCAATTGCTGGTGTATATTGTTCGGACGCTTCTAATAGTTCTGGAGCCATCCAGAGAGGAGTTCCAATAATTATGGATTGGTATTTACTTGTATCTGTGAATTTAGAGAATTCAAAATCACCAATGGAAGGCTCGAACTTTTCATTCAGAAAAATGCCGGAAGGATTTAGATTTCTGTGAATTACGTTTCTTGAGTGGAGAGTTCTCATTCCTGATGCAATTCCGGATGCTATAATCAATACTTCAGTTGGTCCTGGTATAGAATTGTTCTTGAATGCACCATCAAGAGTACCATTAATATAATTATTAAACAATATTACGGGTGTTGTTGATGTATTGTTCTGAAAACCAACGATTCCACAAATGTATGGTGTATTGAATGAACGAAGTATTTGAACTTCACGTGAATATCGTTGTTTTTCTTGTTTTGTTGTTAATTTTTTCTTTAATTGCTTAATTAAGACAGGCTGACCGGTAGCTGTAAGGATACCGGTATTTAAGTAATAGTTTGGATATGTTTTCACGCATTGCTGTATCTGGAAATCGCTTTCATTAATCATTATTTTTTAAAAAATTTGTCAACTTTACAAGTGGATATTCCGATCATTTAAAAATTTGACCTTGTAAATATTTTGACAATAAAGCTTTCAATTTTTTTTAACCCTTTCACTACTGTTAAATAAAAACCAAATAAAATGTTTCATCAATGAATCAAAATAACTTATATATTTGGATAATCCTACAAAAACAAGCTATTTAATATGTCCTTTTCTCATATTTTATGAAATCTCATCAAAATTTCAACAAATGTAGCAATAAGATTCCTTTCTTTCGATATGTTTCATTATAAGAAGTATATTTTAAAGCTTATGCAACAATTGCTATTATACTATTATATACACAGGTTTCATAACTTTTGAAAGATAAAAATAAGTTTAAATAATCCCACAACCCTTCAATTGAGGACAGCCAACTTTGGGTCCTATTCAAATTATAATTCTTACTGGATTTTCTGTATCCTACTGGAACTTACGCGCTTGGAACTAGATCTAATCAGTTAATTTTTAATATTATTCCGTTTCGCGAAAAAAATTGAATACATTTGAATTGAAGGACGGAAATAAAATTAATTATGGATTTTGGAGAGATGATAATTTCGGTATTAGTTTGTATTAGTACAGGGCCATCTGCAACCCTACAACAATAATTTAGAAAATTAAAATACTCAATGTCCCGTATGTTTTTAAAATTGAGATACAGGACGAATATCGCTCTCAAAATCATTGAAAAAGTTTTTATTATAAAATCCGGTAGTTAAGTGTGTCAACAATAAATTAAAATAAAAAGGTTGATAAGAATCGATTATAAAGGGTTGACGATAAAATTCACCTGAATTTATTTTTTCATAGAATTTTGATGGATTATCATAAAAATTAAACGATTTATTTAAAATTAAGGGATATGGTATAACAAACGATAATACATCAACAGTTAAAATTTAACGCTAATTTTGGCCCCTCAATCAATGACCTAATTTGCTCTGAAAATTTTCGTCAAATTCTCTTCAAAAATTGAAAGAATAAAATCATTCTATTTTTTCATTGTCCTAACATGATGAACAACTATGACTACCTCCCACTTATGAATGGCAACCGTGCTTTCATCCGCATCGAAAGCGTCTCAACAGGAAGCTTCAAGACAAATGGTAAAGCTACATTAGTTGCCAGAGTTGGACCAAGAACAACATTCATGCGCCATTCCTGCGAATTCACAGAGAAGAACAAACCATTCCAGACATGGGACTTCAAGTACACAGACCCAGCAAGAGCCTCTTTTGTTGTTGTTCTCTTCAAGAAGCACATCTTTGGTGGTGATGAAGAGATCGGAGAAATTGAACTTCGTCTCTCTGCATTCGAAGCAAATTCTGTTGTTACACAAGAATTTGCTCTCAAGAGTCCAAGCAAGTTGAATGTTCCAGCTAAGGCTACAATTTCTGTTCACCTTAGCGAAGATGGTGCTGAAGCTTTCGATGTTCCAGAAGGAAAGATCATTTCTAACGCCGAAATTCCACATAAGACAACATACTTCAAATAAGATATCATTTTTAATTTTGTTTTTATAAAAGTTTGTTGTTATATTCTATCAATCACCACAAAGAGCCTTTACAAACATAGTAACTTATTGTTCATAGTGTTTGTTAGTTCATAAGAGTCAATGATTGGGAAAGTCCAGCTGGAAACATATCATTATATCCATATCGTAATGTTCTTGTGTTTGGGACTTGTTATGCAGAAGTATAAGGATCCTTTCAACAACAGGAAAATTTGGTGTCCAGGAGCTAAAGTCAGGAAGTAGATCTACCAGGAGAGACATATTCATTATCTTTTTCTTCTTTTTCTTCTTTTAACTATTTCAGCCGAGACATGGATTCAATTATAGAGTTTATCAATACCTCCCTTAGGTACTTATACTATTAATACACCGATAAAGTATTTTGATGTATCATAAAAATTGAAATGAATCAGAATAAAAAATATTAATGCTATGTAAGACAGAGATTTACATTTCACAAGACTTATGCTATATTTGATTAAATGATCTATTTTTGAAGGGATGGTAATCTTTTTGACTTTTGATATTATGAATTTACTTTAAAAATCTCAAAGTACTAACCAGAATGTCTTTGTTTAAAGCATATTGCTATTTGTATAAACGAAATGCATCCCAAAATCAGATTGCTTATTAATTCAAAATTCTAGAACCATAGCATGATAATTATGTCAAAATATTTAAAAGAATATATTACACACAATTATATTTTAATTTGCAATTACTGTTTCAAGGCCACATTAGATCTTTCACAATCTTTTCGATTTTGATAATGAATTTGCTATTATTACTGATAAATATTACTACAGTTGCAAAACCATTTTGATGTGTATACTAGGTTCATATGTGATTCTTACCAAAACCAAACAATAGAAGGAATGATAAAATATTTCAAAATAAAAATATGATATAAAGTATTATTTCGTTGTAAACACCAAAGCACATGATATATATTATACATTTTGTATTTCGGAGGGCTTTAATAAAGTGCTCAACAAAATCATTGAAGACGTTTTAGTCATATTTTTAAATTATAATGGTACAAATATTCTAATAACATTGTGTGTAGTTTATACAACTGATAATATCTAGAATATGAGAAGAGATTTTAGGGCAATGAATTTGACTAATGGGTAGCATATGAAAAATACGGCACAATTGGATTAAACTAGACTGGAAGGTTAAGTACGTAGCTGTTCGAATATCATACACCTCTTTGTAACTGATGTAAGAGTGAAAAAAAGCTTAAAATTTTAAAAATCATGTCACTTTTTAAATGTTTTTTAATTTGTGTAAGATACCATTCAAACATTTAATTCTGACAATGCATTCCATTCTCATCTACTAACAGTTTTAACAAAATTATCCCGAGTTCTGTAAAATATTTTTTTATTGGGCTTGCAAATTTTTTAGGGGGGAGAGCGCCAATTTTTGTTTTAAATTTTTTTACTGAATTTTTTTAGTTTATGCTTCCACCAAAGTTACCAGATAAGTCTTCTTATGACTGGCAGAGTATACCTGAAAGTCAGCGTCAGTTGTATATTCAGCAGCTTAGGACAAATTCTCAACTTCAGCCTCAAATTATAAATAATCTTTCGGCCCAGCAGCAGCAAAAGAAAAAAACAACGAGAAAGAAAGGGAGAAGTAAAGGTAGCTCTGAAGATGCGAGCTTTTCCGAGGATGAATTAGATCCCATCGAAGATATTCCAAGCGACGCACCACGTAGAAGCGTTAGAACACGAGCCAGGAACACATACGCTGAAGATGAATCAGAAAACGAAGGGAATAATCCAAATCCAGCCCCAGCGCAAACACACAATCAAAAAGGCCCTACTATCGATAAAATTTTAGGCAAAACTGTACCACAACCCGGCGGTCAACAATTACTCTGCAAACTTCCCGGCCAAGCTTTCTCTCATTCCCAATATTATTCCGATTCTCAAATACAATCTAATCCCGACAACGCTCAAATTCTTTCAAAATACAACAGCATGCAAGATTCTCAAGACAGTGTTCTATCGGACGTTACACCTTTTATTTCTGAGCCAATTTTCAACCGGACATCTGTAGATTGTTTTATAATAGATCATATATTGGACCACCGACAGCAAGGAGAGGCTAATACCGTTCCACTCGAAGCTTTTGATAGCACGCATTACATTCCTGGTTATCCTTTCAAACAAACACCAAATTTCGAAAATATACTTGCTTACGAGAAGCCACTCAGGCCACCCGACGGTTTTTCAAACTCAATACTCGATGAATACGGAATTATAAACTTGCGCGGCGACGACACCGTTAATAATTTAACGAATGACGAGGAAGAAGAAGAGGAAGAGCTTGCGCCGATCGAGCGTCCCGCAAACCCGGAGTACCTCATCAAATGGAGAGGAAGCAATTCTCCAACATGGGAAGATTCTTCAACATTGGCCGGAGTTGGAGAAGAGCTTTTCCACGCTGCGAACTACGAAGAATTCAATAACTTAGCTGACATTTACTGGCAAAATCTCATACAACGTAGAAAAAATCGAAAAAACGCCATAGATCAAATCCAATCTTTTCCTTTGATGGAACGAGGCATCGAACTTACATCTAAACAGAAAGATACAATCAACCGCATTATCGAATCAAAAAATAACAAAGATCTTAAAATTAGTCTCACAGAAAACGGCTCCGGAAGGGTCGGGGCAGCGCTTAGCTTCCTCCACTTAATCAAGAAACTTCAAAATTACAAAGTTACAGCACTTATCATCGTTGATAAGTATTTAGTCCCGGTATACAGTGCCGGATTACGAGTAATGACCTCGCTATCATACAGTGAGTTCAAGGATGATGTAGAATCCAGAGCTGTTGTCCGGCAACACCAACTTTTGAAAGAATATGGACCTTCTATTGACGCTCTCCTTGTTTCTAAGGACGTTTTCGATTTGGAAGGTGCATCTCTGGCAAATATAAAGTGGAATTACATAATCGTTGACTCTCTTAATCCGCCAAATTTATCAAGTTTTGCAGCACCGTTCAAAATCGTTATAGAAAACCGCAGCGAAACAACTACAGACTTCTCATACACGGAGCATGCTTTTTTTGTCTCAAACGCCATCTCCGGACAGATTCACGACAGATTATCAAAATTAATGAAACTCCGAAACTCCAGATCACATATTCTCGCTGATCCATGCCAATTATACCTTGAAATGACCAAAAGTCATATCCATCCCTTCTTAATTGGCCCAATGGAAGATATAATAATCCAAAAGTTCAAAATGCGTTTCAACATCACTGTTCTTTCCCAAGAACAACACAGTGACCTCTTTTCCTCATCATCTGCCAAGGTTACGCATCTTACAGACCTAATTGACAACTCAAAAATCACAATTGTTGTTTGTGACAACCATTCCATGCTCAGATTGCTCATGTCCCACATGGAGAAGAAGAATATAAAGAGCGCTATCATCAATTCACCAATCAGAGAGGAACAATTCCCGGATAGATTCCATTCCGGAGTTATTTTCATGACAAGAGACTTCAGTTCACCTAGACTGACCAACATTGTCCCTTCAAAAATTATTTTCTTCGATATCGGACAGTCAATTTTATTAGATAACAGTTTAGTCAGATTTTTCTCAAGAAAGAACCAAAATGTCGAAGTATACAGAATGGTAACTGATAACTCGTTGGAAGCGATCTTGTATTCTAAGTATATTTCGGATTTTAAGTTCAATTATCAGAATATTTCAATGGAAGAGATGGAAATCTACCTCAGAGTCGAAGCAATCACAACTCAGCCGACAATTAACCCATTGTCAATCGTAAATCACGACAAAATGGACTTCAAAATGCCTTTCGACAAAAAATGTTTTGAGATATTCGGAAAATTACTCGACAAAGTCAATGAACCGGACTTCTGGGATACTGTATTCTCACATAGAAGGGTGCAGAATATCAAAACAGTAACATGGAAGCGTTCTGACGCTGTAAAAGTACTCGAATATATGGAATCGAAAGGTTTCTGCGATTTCGAAGAGATTGCTACACAGATGGGTAAACAACAAGATGAGGTATACACGTTTGCTCGCGCTGTGTTCTTGCAATTCATGACTACGATTGATAAGCAGTCATTAGTACATTACAACCTTGCCAACGCCATTTTATGGTATGAGTATTACACCACTCCATTTACAGATCAGTTTGACGAAGGTCCGAGCTTCTGGCAAGAATTATCAGCAGATGAGCCTACATTACAGACTCCAGTCTTTACAAAGCCTGTTTTCGCAAGGCAGATAAACCAGAGAATGAAGTCCATACTCGAGAGAATCGAAGAAGTCTGGATCATCCAGACATTCTTGAAACTTCATGAAGAACCTTATTTACCACCGAGATATTTTGAGACACCGAGTCACTTTTTGTTTGAATTTTTGAGAGCATATTTGGACAGTGGGGCAAACTATGCAGAATTAGCGAAAAGGATGACTAATTTCAGAACAGTTGATAAAGATATTGCCGCTAAGATCTCAGTTCCGATTGTAAATGCCATTACATCGGATGTACTGAGTATTGCGATGCACGCGAAGGAGAACGACTACGCAAACGACAGATTCATGAAGCCGATCATCCTAGCGTGCAGAAATGGCCCATTCTCCAAAGAATGGTCAAATAAGGAAGTATCAATCGTAATGCAAGTCGCAGGCAACAACTACATACCACAATGCAACGGAATGAATGACTGGGCAGAGTTCAGAGCTATCGGGCGCCTCATTATGAAGTCACAAGACATGATTCAACCGTTTTTCATGAGTTTTGACGAATGTTTGAGGAAACCGAAGCGACCAGACGACACAGTACTGATCACCCCTGAAATGCGAAACTGCCCAATGGATTCCGGAAGCTTACCTCTCGCGAAAAATATTGTCGACAATTACAGAATGATTACGAACCAATTAAAGCATATCAGAACACTCGCTACAGAGGGAATAAAGCATTTCATACGCAGCGGAGACCTTCCTGAGAAGTGGGACGCTGAATGTGACTATGCCTTAGTTACAGGAGTCGTACAGTTCGGATTCCAGGCCAGAGAAAAACTCGGAAGGATCGTACCGCACTCATCGCCCAATTACTTGGACATTCCAATGGCCAGGCCTTTGGCAGATTTCCAATATTACCTTGGCCAACAAGGGAAGTGCCTGAAGAGGTTACAGTTCGTCATTATGAATAATGTTCCGATCAAAAGACATATTAGTTTCTTCGAAACTGCAATTCATCGTGTTGAATTTCAGTTTCCCGATTATCAGAAGATCGCTTATGAGAAAATGCTTCAGATGCAACGCGCCCATCAACAGATCCAGCTCTTGAAAGACCAAAATCCAAATATTTTCAAAATTATTCCGAGTGGTCACAAAACAGCGAAGCAAGAAACGAAGCCAGCGCCTCCTCCTGCATCCAAAACACAGAAACAGACAGCTCCGCCCCCTCCGATTCAGCCAATTGCCCCAATTCCGCCTCCTCCACCTCCTCCACCGCCGCCACCTCAAGAAAACGAGAGTTCGATCTTCGGAATCTCACCAGACTTCTTCGCAGAGCTCCAAAAGACCTCGCTGCCGCCTCCACCTCCTCCTCCGAGTTCATCATCAAATTCAAACTCATTCAGAGGCCCAGATGTACCTAATTCCTCGTTTAACTTCCAGCCTCCTCCACAGGCACCACGATTACCAACTCCTCCGGTCATTCCTGCACAGAGTATGTTCGCATTAGCCCTCAGATTCCCTCCTCCGCCTCCTCCACCGCAACCATCCCCACAACAGTCGATGTCGCCACAGGTTGCGTCGAAAATTCCTGCAAATATGGGTGGAAAGTCGACATCTTCAAAAATTCCAGCGAATATCGGAACTTTCCCTCCTCCACCTCCTCCACAACCGGTAAACAACAACGATAATGATAACATGCCTTCGATTTTCGGCATTGATTCGTCAGATCTTCCGCCATTTCTTCCTGCGCCTTTGCCAATCGATGACAAGAACAGATCTCCACTCAATTCAAAGTTTCCTAACCAAGACTTACCTAAGAAAATGGTCTTTTTGCCATGATTTCTTTTATTTGTATTTATTATTACATAATCTATCTTTCGTATATAGAAAATAAAATATAATGTTATTTCTTTTGTTAATTATAAATGACTTTCCTTTTTTTTTGTTACAATTTAGAAATTTCATTCAATAAACTTACACTCCTCTAGAAAACTGAGACCACAAGGAGAAAATCTTGATGAATGCGCATGGGTGGACTATTATCATGAAGTCACTACAGATTTAGAAAGTGTTGTTGAGTGGCTTAGTGCTTGGATCAAGTCAGTTCGTTGTACGAGAAGTGCTGAATATACGGTGCGTTTCTGGCTTGAGATTTTCATCGTTGACGCCAAGAACAAATGTGATTTCGATCTCATCAGCTGATCTTGCCTTCTTAGCACCAGAAAAAAAAGGTCACCATCATAATTATCTTTTGTTTTCTTGCTTTAATTATCCTTTTCAGCCTTTGAACAGAAGTTACTTGCTGAATCGAAGAAAAAATCGATGCCAAGGCCTTTCCATGGGAGGTTAAATGGGCTTTGGGCATCCACATATTAGTTTAACAACTCACTTGTAATATTTTAAACTCATTCATGAAGTCTTGTTCGGACAATTTCAAATACATGAAGAAAACGGAAATTCTCATTAAATTATATGTTTAATCTTTAAGTTAATGTTTTATTCACTTTGATTTTATCCACAATCATTCATTTTTTAATTGAGGATTTTCAATAAGCGTCTAATTTTCAATACTATCATATAAGTTATTAGATATATCAAATTATAATCCGAGTGTGAGCGAGAATGAGCTCACAAAGACATATACATTCGATTATCCATGTCCAACAAATTTTGAATGCACCGAATACGTCATTGAATTCCGACCAGGTGTGTACAAATTCGAGCTTTATGGCGCCTCTGGTGGTGGCTTACCAGGAAGGATATTGTCATATATTGACAAAGATGATAATTGCATCAACGATGCATTCGTCTCTATTGCCAATGGAAATGCGAAATGCAGCATAACAAGAAGCCGTGGTGGTGCGGGCGGGTATATATCCGGCATCATTAAATTATCCGATCGCATCACTGCATATGCTACTATCGGCGGCCGTGGAATATACGGTCGCACTGATGAAACGCCGTCTTATGATCGTGATAAAATGGTCAAAGGCGGCTATGCAACTAATTACAAAGGTGCTGGTAACAACGATGGTGCAGGAAGTGGAGGAGGTCAAACCGCTGTCAAATTTCTGTCAAATGACCTTTGGCATCGCGTGATAGTAGCTGGTGCTGGAGGAGGATCTGACGACGAATATACAAGCGGAACTAAAAATGATGGATCTGGAGGCTCAGGTGGCGATTTTACTGCACAAGGATACTGGATAAATGGAATATTAAACTCAGATCGATTAGCTAATTCTACATTTGGATTTACATTTGGATCCGGAGAATCAGCTCAAAAAGATGGGTCGAAAAATTCAAAAGGAGTTCAAAGTGGAAGTGGTTATTCTGACAGACCTGGTGCCGGAAGTGGATGGTTCGGTGGATTTGCAGGTCATAATGGAGATGGTGGATCTGGGGGAGGAAGTTCGTGGGCACTCTCGAAGAATGCAATCATCCCTCAAGGAAACATTACAGCAACAGATAGCTTTTACAACTTAAATGATAGTCGTCCATATTCATTCAGTCTTGATGATGGATATCTCTTCAGTGATGTCAAGACATATCCTGGCATCTGGGAAGGCAACGGTCGTCTTGTCATCACAATTCTGGACAGCATCATATATCCTTCTTGTGTTTCTATCAATTGCTCACACTTTTCATATTTCCTTTTATTTATTTTATTTTTCGAAACTCACTCATGACAATAATGATGAACTTTTGTAAACAATTATTTGATTATAATGATAATAATAATAAACAAAATAATTAATCTGAATTTTAATTCTACCCATTTCTGATACAAAACATGTATGTGTAGAATATAATCAGTTTCAACAAATCATTGTTACTTTTTAACCGATAAAATATTCATTTTTTTCATTGAATGATATCAAATTTCTTATTCAACAATTTTATCCTATAAATTATTAGATTCAGTAAGATATCGGGATCATGTAGGCTATGATCCAGCAACAAAGACATATAAATTCGATTATCCATGTGAATCTCGATATGATTGTACCGATTATGAAATTAAATTTAAGCCCGGTGTCTATAAGTTCGAACTCTATGGTGCTTCAGGAGGCGCTGTTCTAGACCATACATCATCATACATCGACAAAAATCTCAAATGCATAAGTGAAGACATAGTAAAATTTCATAATGGAAACACGAAATGTCATCAAGTTGGTAACCGAGGTGGCGCAGGCGGATATATTTCAGGCACCATCAAACTTTCTCACCCTATAACCGCTTTTGCAACGATAGGTGGTCAAGGATCCTTTACAAACAATTATAAAACAAATGATTTTGATGTTAACAAGATGATCAAAGGTGGATATGGAGGAGGGGGCAATGCCTTTTCTTTCTATGCCGATGATGGTAACTATGGATCAGGAAGTGGCGGAGGTCAAACCGCTGTCAAATTCGTGTCAAATGACCTTTGGCATCGAGTGATAGTTGCAGGTGCTGGAGGCGGTTCCGATAATTATTTTTATGCTGACTCATATAATAGCTACGATGATGGCTCAGGAGGATCGGGCGGTGGCCTTACCGCACAATGATACTGGCTTGATGGCGTTTATAATTCATCCAGATTAGCTAATTCTACATTTGGATTTACATTTGGATCCGGAGAATCAGCTCAAAAAGATGGGTCGAAAAATTCAAAAGGAGTTCAAAGTGGAAGTGGTTATTCTGACAGACCAGGTGCAGGAAGTGGATGGTTTGGAGGATTTGCAGGTCACAATGGAAATGCTGGATCCGGGGGAGGAAGTTCGTGGGCAGTCTCAAAGAATGCAATCATCCCTCAAGGAAACATTACAGCAACAGATAGCTTTTACAATATAAATGATAGTCGCCCATATTCATTCAGTCTTGCCGATGGATATCTCTTCAGTGATGTCAAGACATATCCTGGCATCTGGGAAGGCAACGGTCGTCTTGTCATCACAATTCTGGACAGCATCATATATCCTTCTTGTATCTGTCTCAATCGCTCACACTTTTCATATTTCCTTTTATTTATTTTATTTTTCGAAACTCACTCATAACACTAAGAATAAACAATTATGATAAGTTATATATATTTATATAATATCTAATGGCATGACCTGATACATGTCCAAATTATTAGCCTTCGATATGATTCAGAAATTTTCTCAAATGATGATTTTGAAAAATTTCGATTATCATGAATTAAAACTTGAATTTGTATTAAGTATATATCACTTTCTTTTTTATGATCGATTTTTTTTTGCAAAGTAAACCATTTTTATTTAGAGATTTCAAATAGCATTTAGTTATCAATATTATCATATAGTTTATTAGACGAAAACAAGTATGAGACTAATGTGAGCGTCAATGAACTCACAAAGACATATACATTCGATTATCCGTGTCAAACAAATTTCGAATGCACCGAATATGTCATCGAATTCCAACCCGGCATCTATAAATTCGAGCTTTATGGCGCCTCCGGTGGTGGCGCTCCAGGAAGAACATCATCATATATTGACAAAGATGGCAATTGCACCAATGAAGCAATAGTTTCACTTGCCAATGGTAACACGAAATGTAACATAACTGGAAGTCGTGGTGGTGCTGGCGGATACATATCCGGCATCATTAAATTATCCGATCGCATCACTTCATATGCTACTATCAGCGGCCGCGGAATATATGGTCGCACAGTCGATGCTCAAACCTTTGATCGCGATAAGATGATTAAAGGCGGCTATGGTGGTGGCGGCTATGCAACTAATTACCGTGGCCCACGCAATACCGATGGCGCGGGAAGTGGAGGCGGTCAAACCGCCGTTAAATTTTTGTCAAATGACCTTTGGCATCGAGTGATAGTTGCTGGTGCTGGAGGTGGTTCTGACAATGAACATACCGTTGGATCTGAAGATGATGGATCAGGAGGATCAGGCGGTGGCCTTACTGCTCAAGGATACTGGATTAATGGCGTGTTGAAATCAGATCGATTAGCTAATTCCAATTTTGGATTTACATTTGGATTCGGTGAATCAGCTCAAGAATTTGGATCAAAAAATCAAAATGGTGTTCGAAATTTTGGAGGATCATCTGATAGAGCAGGCGCAGGAAGCGATTGGTTTGGAGGATTTGCAAGTCACAACGGAAATGGAGGTTCAGGAGGAGGAAGCTCGTGGGCACTATCAGCAAATGCAATCATCCCTCAAGGAAAAATTGAAGTTCGAGATAGTTTTTACAATCTAAATGATAGTCGCCCATATTCATTCAGTCTTGATGATGGATATCTCTTCAGTGATGTCAAGACATATCCAGGTATCTGGGAAGGCAACGGTCTTCTTGTTATCACAATTCTGGACAGCATCATATATCCTTCTTGTGTTTCTATCAATTGCTCACACTTTTCATATTTCCTTTTATTTATTTTATTTTTCGAAACACAATCATAACAATAATAATAAATTATCATAAAAGTTTTTGGTGTTAGATTTATCCAACTATATAACAAAATTTGTCAAATGATGAATTATAGAAAAAATTCACTTAACATGGCTCAAAGCTTGAATTTTTATTAAATATAAAAATCATTTTCTCTTTTGAAATAAGGGTTTCGTTTTGTGAAAAAAACGTACAATACGCAATTTCGCTAAAAAAACATTTAGCTAGCAATTTCGACCTTTGACTCCACTCAAGACGTCACTTTTTTAATTTTGCGGTATCATATTTTTGGAAAATCTTTATGAATATTATATAAAAAGTCTCTTTAATATCTATATTTCATATTTTTATCGATTTTAAAAGTTTTGGCGAAAAGTATTCAATTATTTTTGCTATTTGGTCGGGTAAATGTCAGATTTGCGACATTTTCTGATATGATATTCAGATTCTACGTTGATAATAATGCTTATAGAACCCTCTTGCTATTGTGTCAAAATTGCGAAACCGATAGCAAAAATATCTCGCAATATCAAAATTGAGATATTGAGTGAATTATGCATTATAGAGATTAAAAATCTGATTTGTGAAAACATCTCATCAGTTTCTAGCTAATTCAAAAATCTTTACTATCTTATTCGATTAAAATGAAAAGGGAATAGTTTCATTATGCTTTAAATGACAGCCTTATAATATAATCATAGTTTTCGCTCAATATGCAGCATTTTTTTTTCGAAATCTATGGTCAATGTCCTAAATACTGATTGCTTTGCATTCATATCTCTTACATTTTCTATACCCACATCAATATTCATTGCTATTCCTATCTTTTTCATTTTTGTTTGTTTCTCATAATTTCTCAAAAAACACGAGAGTAGGTGCCAAAAGTGCTTACTCTTAAACAACCATCGGATTTCCGGGTGAAATCGTGACACACTTTCGTCTTTCGTAGGCAGTGGTGGTTGTTACAAAAGGTAACTTCGAATGTAGCGTGAAATCTGCAAAAAAAATTCTGAAATTTGAATGGAGAACACAAAAATTGAATAGTTTACGTCAATAAAAAAGAGAAAAATAAAGCCAATGTGTCTCGAACCTAGGACTTAGAGCAGCAATCCCACTGTTTATCAAATTACACTACATGCATCTCTCACCTCAGTGAATGAGATCAACTATATGATAACTTTTTCCCCATTATATTCTTGTGGAAAAGTGACAAATAGCAACTTTGACCCTCTCTCAAAAACACGATAACTTGATATTTGTAAATATCATACTTTATAACGTAAATAAGAACTTGACCTATTAAGAAAAGCAGTAATGAAAAGAAAATCTGAAATTCATAAAAATTACAAGTTTCTGATGACAATTAGCTTAATTAAACCAGGTACAAGATTATATAATTGTATTTTCTATCCAATTATCCATATAATATCTTATCCAGAAAAAATAACTTGATCAATACCAAATGATTTTTTAACTAGTAAATAAAGTATTTTCTTTACACACACATTGTATATCATAGTTTTTTTTTTGGTTTCGCAAAACATCCAAAAACAAATATGCTATAAAAGTGACAATTTTAGCAAAACGAAACCCTTATTTGAAATTGTTTTTTAAACAAAGTAAATCATTTTTATTTAGAGATTTCAAATCGTATTTAGCCATCAATATTATCATATAGATTATTAGACGAAAACAAGTATGAGACTAATGTGAGCGTGGATAATGTCACAAAGACATATACATTCGACTATCCATGTCCAACAAATTTCGAATGCACCGAGTATATCATCGAATTCCAACCAGGCGTCTATAAATTTGAACTTTATGGTGCTTCAGGAGGTGCTGCTCCAAACCATACATCATCACATATTGATGAAAATGGAAATTGCATAAGTCAAGATATTGTAAAATTTCTTAATGGAAATACAAAATGTCATCAAGTTGGTAACCGTGGCGGAGCTGGTGGCTATATTTCAGGTATAATAAAACTTTCTCACCATATAACCGCTTTTGCAACGATAGGTGGTCAAGGAACATTTACTTTGAATCCCAATGCAAATGATTTTGATGTTAATAAGATGATTAAAGGTGGCTATGGGGGAGGAGGCTCCGCCTTTAATTATTATGGTTCTGATAACAACTATGGTTCGGGAAGCGGTGGTGGTCAAACCGCTGTCAAATTTGATTCAAACGATCTTTGGCATCGTGTAATTGTTGCTGGTGCTGGAGGTGGTTCTGATAATTATTATTATATTGATACATATAGAAAAGGAGATGATGGTTCGGGTGGTTCAGGAGGTGGGTTTACTACGCAGGGTTTTTGGGTAGATGGCGTCCTGAATTCAGAGAAAATTGCTAATTCTATCTTTGGATTTACATTTGGATCAGGAGAATCTGCTCAGGAAAACGGATCAAAAAATAAAAATGGAGTTAGTGCAGGTATTGGTGGATATGACAGACCAGGTGCAGGAAGTGGATGGTTTGGAGGATTTGCAGGTCACAATGGAAATGCTGGATCCGGGGGAGGAAGTTCGTGGGCAGTCTCAAAGAATGCAATCATCCCTCAAGGAAACATTACAGCAACAGATAGCTTTTACAACTTAAATGATAGTCGCCCATATTCATTCAGTCTTGATGATGGATATCTTTTCAGTGATGTCAAGACATATCCTGGCATCTGGGAAGGCAACGGTCGTCTTATTATCACAATTCTTGACAGCATCATATATCCTTCTTGTGTTTCTATCAATTGCTCACACTTTTCATATTTCCTTTTATTTATTTTATTTTTCGAAACTCACTCATAACACTAATAATAAACAATCGTAATGTTCTATTTTTGAATCAATATCATTTTTCTAGTTGTATCAACATCATTTATAAGTGCAGACATTGATTTTAATAACTCACGTATTTAAACAACTTAATTAATTTGGGAATGATCTTCTTAATTTCTTGGACATATTCTGCACAATTGTCATTTGATGCTTTGATTGTAGAGATATTCCGTGTTGTGAATAATTTTATCCTAATATAAATATTGATCCAAATGTTAATATTTTATAAGAGAATTAATTGATGTTCATATTTACTCTACTTTTACTACATTTTAAGTCATTTTTAATATGATTAGTTTGAAATCGTTTCTAGTATACAATACTATCATATAGATTATTAGACAAATTAAATCATCAGACCAATGTTAGTGAAAATAAGCTCACAAAGACATATACATTCGATTATCCATGTGAATCAAATTTTGAATGTACGGATTATGAAATCAAATTTAAGCCCGGCGTCTATAAATTTGAACTATATGGTGCTTCAGGAGGCGCTGCTCCAAACCATACATCATCATACATTGATGAAAATCTAAATTGCATAAGTCAAGATATTGTAAATTTTCTTCATGGAAACACGAAATGCAGGAAAGTTGGTAACTGAGGTGGTGCAGGCGGCTATATCTCAGGTATCATCAAACTTTTACACCCTATAACCGCTTTTGCGACGATAGGTGGTCAAGGAAATTTTTCATACAATTATAAAACTAAAGATTATGATGTTATTAAGATGATCAAAGGCGGCTACGGTGGTGGAGGCTATTCCTTTAACTACTTTTTAGCTGATGATGATTATGGCGCTGGAAGTGGCGGCGGTCAAACCGCTGTCAAATTTTTGTCAAATGACCTTTGGCATCGTGTTATTGTTGCCGGTGCTGGAGGTGGTTCTGATAATATCAATCCAATCGATACATATAATAGAAGAAATGATGGATCAGGAGGATCAGGAGGTGGCTTTACAGCACAAGGATATTGGGCAGATGGGGTCTTAAACTCAGAAAAATTAGCCAATTCCACTTATGGATTTACATTTGGATCTGGCGAATCAGCCCAAAAAGAAGGGTCGAAAAATCCAAACGGAGTTACAAGTGGCATTAATGGAGTAGATAAATCAGGTTCCGGAAGCGGTTGGTTCGGTGGATTTGCAGGTCATAATGGAGATGGTGGATCTGGGGGAGGAAGTTCGTGGGCACTCTCGAAGAATGCAATCATCCCTCAAGGAAACATTACAGCAACAGATAGCTTTTACAACTTAAATGATAGTCGCCCATATTCATTCAGTCTTGCCGATGGATATCTCTTCAGTGATGTCAAGACATATCCTGGCATCTGGGAAGGCAACGGTCGTCTTGTCATCACAATTCTGGACAGCATCATCTATCCTTCTTGTGTTTCTATCAATCGCTCACACTTTTCATATTTCCTTTTATTTATTTTATTTTTCGAAACTCACTCATAACAATAATAATAAAAATCGTTATTCTTGAACTTTAACGTAATCCTCGTCTTTTCCCCAAGTTTATCACGAAATTTGTCAAATGAATTAGAAAAATTCACTGAACATGAATTAAAACTTTTAATATATATATAAAATATATATCATTTTCTCTTTTGAAATTGTTTTTTAAACAAAGTATATCATTTTTATGTAGAGATTTCAAATCAGGTCTAATATTCAATATTATCCTATAGTTTATTAGACAAAAACAAATATGAGACTAATGTGAGCGTCAATGAGCTCACAAAGACATATACATTCGATTATCCGTGCCCAACAAATTTTGAATGCACTGAATACGTCATTGAATTCCGACCAGGTGTGTACAAATTCGAGCTTTATGGCGCCTCTGGTGGTGGCTTACCAGGAAGGATATCGTCATATATTGACAAAGATGATAATTGCATCAACGATGCATTCGTCTCTATTGCCAATGGAAATGCGAAATGCAGCATAACAAGAAGCCGTGGTGGTGCGGGCGGGTATATATCTGGCATCATTAAATTATCTAAACACATCACTGCTTACGCTACTATCGGCGGCCGAGGAATATACGGTCGCACAGTTGAATATTCAACCTTTGATCGTGATAAGATGGTCAAAGGTGGCTATGGCGGTGGCGGCTATGCAACAAATTTCGCAACCTATGATCTTAATGATGGCGCAGGAAGCGGAGGTGGTCAAACCGCTGTCAAATTCCTGTCAAATGACCTTTGGCATCGAGTGATAGTAGCCGGTGCTGGAGGCGGTTCTGACAATTCATATACAATTGGAACTCAAGATGATGGCTCAGGAGGATCAGGCGGTGGCCTTACTGCACAAGGATACTGGATCAATGGCGTTTATAATTCATCCAGATTAGCCAATTCTACATTTGGATTTACATTTGGATCGGGTGAATCAGCCCAAGAAAACGGATCAAAAAATTTAGATGGTGTTACAAAAGGTGATGGAGGATATGATAGACCAGGTTCAGGAAGTGGCTGGTTTGGAGGATTTGCAAGTCACAACGGAAATGGAGGTTCAGGAGGAGGAAGCTCGTGGGCACTATCAGCAAATGCAATCATCCCTCAAGGAAAAATTGAAGTTCGAGATAGTTTTTACAATCTAAATGATAGTCGCCCATATTCATTCAGTCTTGATGATGGATATCTCTTCAGTGATGTCAAGACATATCCAGGTATCTGGGAAGGCAACGGTCGTCTTGTTATCACAATTCTTGACAGTATCATCTATCATTCTTGTAATTCTTTCGATCGATCCCCCTTTTCATATATTCTTTTCATTAATATGGAATTCGAAACTAACGCATAACACTAATAATAAACAATCATAATGTTCTATTTTTGAAACAATATCATTTTTCTAGCTGTATAAACATCATTTAATAAGTGCAGACTTTGATTTATTAACTCACGTATTTTAACAACTGAATTTGTGAATGATCTTCTCAATTTCTTCAATACATTCTGCACAATTGACATTCATATATATTCTACTTTGACTACATATCAAATCATTTTTAATCTGATTAATTTGAAATCGTTTCTAGTATACAATACTATCATATAGATTATTAGACAAATTAAATCATCAGACCAATGTTAGTGAAAATAAGCTCACAAAGACATATACATTCGATTATCCATGTGAATCAAATTTTGAATGTACGGATTATGAAATCAAATTTAAGCCCGGCGTCTATAAATTTGAACTATATGGTGCTTCAGGAGGCGCTGCTCCAAACCATACATCATCATACATTGATGAAAATCTAAATTGCATAAGTCAAGATATTGTAAATTTTCTTCATGGAAACACGAAATGCAGGAAAGTTGGTAACTGAGGTGGTGCAGGCGGCTAAATCTCAGGTATCACAAAGGTGAAATGGTTATTCGGTAATTCTAGATAATTGGAATTAGTTTTCTTGAATCTTTGTTTTAACCCTTACTTTACTGCCATAAGTTTGAACTGGGAGCCTATATCCAATAAATTGGAATTAATATATTAGAATAACATAAGTTAAAACTTGAAAATGTATTAAGCATATATCATTTTCTCTTTTACGATCGATTATTTTAACAAAACAATTCATTTTTATTAAGAGATTTCAAATCGCATTTAGTTATCAATATTATCATATAGTTTATTAGACGAAAACAAGTATAAGACTAATGTGAGCGTCAATAAACTCACAAAGACATATACATTCGATTATCCATGCCCAACAAATTCAGAATGCACCGAATACGTCATAGAATTCCAACCTGGTGTCTATAAATTTGAACTTTATGGGGCATCTGGTGGTGGCTTCCTAGGAAGGATATCATCATATATTGACAAAGATGGCAATTGCACCAATGAAGCAATAGTTTCACTTGCCAATGGTAACACGAAATGTAACATAACTGGAAGTCGTGGTGGTGCTGGCGGATACATATCCGGCATCATTAAATTATCCAAACACATCACTGCATATGCTACTATCGGCGGCCGTGGAATATACGGTCGCACAGTCGATGCTCAAACCTATGATCTCGATAAGATGGTCAAAGGCGGATATGGCGGTGGTGGCTATGCAGCTAATTTCAAAGGTGTAGACGATACTGATGGTGCGGGAAGTGGCGGAAGTCAAACCGCTGTCAAATTTTTGTCAAATGACCTTTGGCATCGTGTGATAGTGGCTGGTGCTGGAGGTGGTTCGGAAAACGAATTTGCATATGGAAATTCAGATGACGGCTCAGGAGGATCAGGTGGTGATTTTACAGCACAAGGATATTGGGAAAATGGCGTTTATAATTCATCCAGATTAGCTAATTCTACATTTGGATTTACATTTGGATCTGGAGAATCAGCCCAAGAAAACGGATCAAAAAATCCAAATGGAGTTCAAAGCGGAAGTGGATTTTCTGATAGACCCGGAGCTGGAAGTGGTTGGTTTGGTGGATTTGCAGGCCATTCAGGAAATGCAGGTTCAGGAGGAGGAAGTTCGTGGGCAGTCTCAAAGAATGCAATCATCCCTCAAGGAAACATTACAGCAACAGATAGTTTTTACAACATAAATGATAGTCACCCATATTCATTCAGTCTTGATGATGGATATCTTTTCAGTGATGTCAAGACATATCCTGGCATCTGGGAAGGCAACGGTCTTCTTGTTATCACAATTCTTGACAGCATCATATATCCTTCTTGTGTTTCTATCAATTGCTCACACTTTTCATATTTCCTTTTATTTATTTTATTTTTCGAAACTCACTCATAACACTAATAATAAACAATTAATAACAACAGTCTTAATAAATAATAATAAACAATCAACATGAGCGTTCAACCCTTGTGACATGAGCAGTCAACGCCAGGAAATATTTTTGATAAATTATGAATTGGCATTATTGGTCTTCGGAATTACCGTTTCAAATGGAATTTAAGAGATTTATGCTCTGCTAAGCTGTAAACGAAACCTATTATTAATATTCACCCTGATCTGAATAGAAAAAAGTGACAATTTTGTTTTAAATGATTCCTTTTCTTTTCTCTTTAGGTTTTTCAATTCATCCTTCATGTAAAGCACCAACAAAATTCCCAGAACCACTTAATTCATCATTTATTCCAAAATACGCTCAAATTTTACTCAGACATGGCGCTAGAACACCAATCGTTAAATTTCTTTCATTAGACAAACGCGGAGTATGGCAATGCGACAGTGCAGACGCATATGCATCAAGAATTGAAGCAGCTCCACTTGTTCATCCACGTAGAATTCGGAGAATTCTCGACCAACGTCTTGCCGAATTCCCAGCAAACTGCCAGATGGGTGATCTTACAGTAGAAGGCATGACAGAGCATGCAGAACTCGGAGCAGCCTTTAATAAATATATTGTTAATCAACTCAAGCTTCTTCCAGATTACTTAGATCCAACACTCATCCAAGCACGTGCTACATGGTACGAAAGAACATACCACTCCTGCATCTCATTCCTCAAAGGACTTTACCCAATTCAGGATCCAAACGAAGTTGTTGATATTACAGTTGGCACAAAGGACTTTGACGTTGTCCATCCAACAAAGGATATGTGCCCAGACCTCGCAGACCTCAGAAACCGCTATTTCAACTCAGATGATTACAAACAAATTTACAACGAAGTTTTACCAGTTGCAGAGCCACTTTACACATTTACAAACACTTCTGATAAATCTCCAGAAGGTTTAGAGAAGATTTGCGATTGGGCAATCACTTATTACTGCAATGAGCAAGATTTGACTGAAATCATCACAGATGACCTCGTAGCCAAATGCAGAAAGCTCCAGATCGCTCATTTCTACAAATTGAACTTTTTCGACAAAGAAAAACTCGCAATCGGCGCCGCTCCAATTTTCCGCGAAATCTTCAGAGTTATGGACCAATCCCTCAACGAAGAATCTACTACAAAGCTCAATATCATCAGCGCTCACGATTCTGTCATCGCATTCGTTTTATCAGCTCTCGGAATAGGAAACGACTTTACAGATCCACCTCCATACGCTTCATACATCGTCATGGAGGTCTACATGCTCAACCAGGAGCCTTACGTCAGATTTATCTACAATGGCGAGGTTCTCGACCTCGGTGACGGCCAACAAGTCATGAAACTCCATAATTTCAGACAGAAATTAGATCCTTACTTGCAGCAGTGTTTAACACTCCCATGAAAAATATTATTTTATAATAAAAGTTATATTTGATAAAAATTTCCTATTATTTCCATCAGAAAATTAATATTCTATACATTTATTTAATCTTTACTTTTGAATTTTTAAAAGAATTATCAAAATCAGCTATAATATAATGACTCAATTTTACCTTGACAATACCCTCTATAATTTTTGATCAATCTTTAATTAAAATAATAGATTTTGTTAAATCAAAGCTAATTTCTGGTATAAATAATAAAATTCATATTTTACTAAGAGTTAAATTTTAATGTTTAGTCAAGATTTAGACTTTTTCGCCTGATCCTGATTCGTTGTTTTTAGACTTCTTCCTAAAAACAAAGAACCAAACGAGAATACAGATGATTGCAATAAAAGCAATAACACCAATTACAATTCCTACAATTGCTCCAGTGCCAAGACCACCATTATTGGCAACACTCTTTAAACTGCTGTTTCTGGTGTTCTCTTTCAGTTCTTCCTCTGTTTTAACTCCAATAGGAATATCGAAGAGAATATCATCTGGGAAAAGAGATTCTTCTGCCTCTTCTGTTGATTCCTTTACTTTGTTAATATTGATTTCAACATTGACTTCACCTGGTTCTCCTTCCATATCTGGATTTAATGTTGCCCAGATCGTTTTTCCTTTGAGCTTTTTCTCACCAGATTCACCTGCACTGTTACGAAGAACGCCGATAACTTTTTCATGATCTGTGGTGACTTCTATTTCTTTATTTTGTGTACTATGTGATTGAAGTATCAATGATTTCGATGATTGTTTCGTAAACTGAAGCTTTTCTTTCATGTTGAGAGAATTCTTTGTTGTGAAAACAGAACTCAATGTTCCTTCATTTGTAGATTGAGGTTGATTAATCGAAATAACATGGACTTTACATTCCTTTGTTGAATCGGAACAATTTATAACGCTTAAATAATTTCCTGCAACACTGAATGGATTCTCTACTTCTACTGGTTTCTCTTGTGGATTTGACAAATTGTGAACTGTAGCTTTGAATTTGTCTTTTGATGCATAAACAAAACTTCCTTGTGTGCATACAGACTTGCCAGCGCCAATTGTAACAATCTTACTGATAATATCCATTTTTATTATTTCATCACACGGTAAATTATCAGGTAAAAATGTTTCACCTGGCCAGTTTGTGAAGATATTTTGATGATCTCTTGAATATGCTTTAATTTGATCAAGTGTGTAAGCTCCTTCCTCTGGAAGAATATAGAAAATATCATCTCCAAAAGGATTTGAAAATCCTTCCAAGACCGGAGCAGATGAATTTGTTTCACAATTAATCTCTAAACTTTTTGATGACACTCCTTCAGTTGTAAAATTTGGGACAATAGATAGGTAAATAATGTTTCCGCTGGAGATATTTTCTCCACTTTCAATTATATAACCATTATTTACAAAGGCAGAAACTAGAAAATTTTCTTCTTTAATAGTAAATTTTAGTGGAATATCATTTTGAGCGCACATATGAAGTAATTGATTTGGTGAAATCGTAATATTTGTTTTGAAATTTCTTAATGTGGAAAAAATTCCATAAGAATGAATAGAAAAAGTTTCGATTGATTTATGATATGACATTTGAATTCCAAAGAATGAAATAGTAATTTGCTGATTGAGGTCTGTTGGAGTGATTTTAATTCGTGTAGAATTCATTAATGTACTTATTACTGATGGATTTGGAACATTTTCATGTAATTCTCCATCTATAGCTTCTTTTGCTGGTAAACCACCATATGATGGCTCTGATTCTTGAACGAATTTATAAGAAGCTTTAAAATCTTTATCAGCCTTTATAAAAACAGATCCTTCAATACAGATATAGGGTGTCCAAAGGTGTGTTTAGCACAAACCTGAATACTGCGAATAGAAATAAACAAGTTACATATATATAAAGTTTATTTAAATATAATCACCATTGGATTCAATCACGCGTTCGCAGCGATCGATCCAGGCTTCAAAGACACGCTTTAAATCATCATGAGAAAATTGCTCAAATTGCTCTCTTACAAAATTTTCAAGATCATCTGGACTCGCGAATTCGCGTCCTTCAGCTCTCTTTTTTAGCGTGCCGAATAAATAAAAGTCAGAGGGTGCAATATCAGGTGAATAAATTGGGTTTGGAACAACTTTGACATTGTTTTCCAACAAGTAATTCATTACCTTATGACTTTTGTGAACTCTTGAATTATCAAAATGAATTGCAAACTTTTGTTTTTGTTGTTTGGATTTCTCAAACTCATCAGAATTGATAATTTGAGTAAGAACATTGTCAATTAGATACTGAGCATTCATCGTATTAGGTTTTTGAAGAATATCAATTGCGATGATGCCATTCACGCCCCAAAAAACCGACAACATCATCATTGGTGTGTCAATTTTTTTCTTCGGGAATGTTTGCGGATTTTCATCCTTCGGGATCCACATGATTTTGGCTTCTGTTGCATATTGAAACCAAGACTCGTCCCCTGTTACTAAAAAGCGAAACTTCTTGGATTGATACGCACCCAATATAGAGAGGAGCTCTTTCGAAGATTGGACTCTAGATTTTTTTTGAACTGAATTAAGGTTGTGCGGAACCCAACGTGTATACGCTAGTTTGTAGTTCAAATAATTGTGCAGATAATAACTGACTGTTGTACGTGGTATCTTTGTCATCTCCTTTATCCTTCTGAGTGATGCTCTTGGGTCTTCATCTAGCGCTTGAAGAATTGCTTTGATTTTTCTTTGATCCGGCGATTTTTTGTCAATTTTTATGATGGGCGCCTTTTTGTTCATGAAGTGATACATCCTAACATGATACGTTACAGTGGAATAGCTAGGAGCATCCATACCGAAGCATTTTACCAATGTCTCGTAGATTTTTTTACAGTCTTTGCATTTTTTTGCAAGAGCGAGGATGTTTTCTTTATGATTCATTAAAAAAATGAAAAAAATCCCGCCAAAATTTCCCGCGAAACCGCCTCTTGTCTCAAAATTCATTTTATATCCCGGCATGACGCCAAAATACAACATACTCATCATATACATATATTCATATTTTTTATTATATATTTATAATCAGCATATATCTCCTTTAATAGTCTCATATAGAGCGCTGTGCTAAACGCACCTTTGGACACCCTATAGTAGATTTTCCATCTAAAGTGAGAGTTTTTGTTCGTCCAGCATAAATTCTTTCGGTATTTTGATTGTTACATCTGTTGTGCATGAAAATTCGGTTCACTTCACTTCTGACAAAAAGTGACAAGTTTACATGACAAAATATATAGGGTATTTTTTTTAAAAGTAGTTATCTTTATATATAAAAATAAAACTTTTGATATATTTGAGTAAATGATTTATTAATTTATTTATTTTTTTTAAATCAAATCATATAAATATATATATATATAATAGTGAAATAGAACAAGAGATAATTATTGATGATTAAATTGTAGACGAGGATAAAAGTTTAGATAAATTAATAAAATTAGTGTGGAATCAGACAAAGTTTCCCGCTGTTTGGGAAGGAATTGTTGGCTATGATGTACTGATTCATGATCAGTACATCATAGCCAACAATTCCTTATACAAAGTTCAAAAAACTTGGGTGCAATCAGTTCTGATTGCACCCAAGTTTTTGAACTTTCTCGAGGGAATGAAAGGGTAAGAGGTATACATTATGAATATATACCTCTTACCCTTCCATTCCTCTCTGACAGCGGGAAACTTTGTCTGAATGTTAAACTATTCAGACAAAGTTTCCCGCTGTTTGGGAAGGAATTGTTGGCTATGATGTACTGATTCATGATCAGTACATCATAGCCAACAATTCCTTATACAAAGTTCAAAAACTTGGGTGCAATCAGTTCTGATTGCACCCAAGTTTTTGAACTTTCTCGAGGGAATGAAAGGGTAAGAGGTATACATTATGAATATATACCTCTTACCCTTCCATTCCTCTCTGACAGCGGGAAACTTTGTCTGAATGTTAAACTATTCAGACAAAGTTTCCCGCTGTTTGCGAAGGAATTGTTGGCTATGATGTACTGATTCATGATCAGTGCATCATAGCCAACAATTCCTTATACAAAGTTCAAAAACTTGGGTGCAATCAGAACTGATTGCACCAAGTTTTTGAACTTTCTCGAGGGAATGAAAGGGTAAGAGGTATACATTATGAATATATACCTCTTACCCTTCCATTCCCTCTCTGACAGCGGGAAACTTTGTCTGAATGTTAAACTATTCAGACAAAGTTTCCCGCTGTTTGGGAAGGAATTGTTGGCTATGATGTACTGATTCATGATCAGTACATCATAGCCAACAATTCCTTATACAAAGTTCAAAAACTTGGGTGCAATCAGTTCTGATTGCACCCAAGTTTTTGAACTTTCTCGAGGGAATGAAAGGGTAAGAGGTATACATTATGAATATATACCTCTTACCCTTCCATTCCCTCTCTGACAGCGGGAAACTTTGTCTGAATGTTAAACTATTCAGACAAAGTTTCCCGCTGTTTGCGAAGGAATTGTTGGCTATGATGTACTGATTCATGATCAGTGCATCATAGCCAACAATTCCTTATACAAAGTTCAAAAACTTGGGTGCAATCAGAACTGATTGCACCCAAGTTTTTGAACTTTCTCGAGGGAATGAAAGGGTAAGAGGTATACATTATGAATATATACCTCTTACCCTTCCATTCCCTCTCTGACAGCGGGAAACTTTGTCTGAATGTTAAACTATTCAGACAAAGTTTCCCGCTGTTTGCGAAGGAATTGTTGGCTATGATGTACTGATTCATGATCAGTGCATCATAGCCAACAATTCCTTATACAAAGTTCAAAACTTGGGTGCAATCAGAACTGATTGCACCCAAGTTTTTGAACTTTCTCGAGGGAATGAAAGGGTAAGAGGTATACATTATGAATATATACCTCTTACCCTTCCATTCCCTCTCTGACAGCGGGAAACTTTGTCTGAATGTTAAACTATTCAGACAAAGTTTCCCGCTGTTTGCGAAGGAATTGTTGGCTATGATGTACTGATTCATGATCAGTGCATCATAGCCAACAATTCCTTATACAAAGTTCAAAAACTTGGTGCAATCAGTTCTGATTGCACCCAAGTTTTTGAACTTTCTCGAGGAATGAAAGGGTAAGAGGTATACATTATGAATATATACCTCTTACCCTTCCATTCCCTCTCTGACAGCGGGAAACTTTGTCTGAATGTTAAACTATTCAGACAAAGTTTCCCGCTGTTTGCGAAGGAATTGTTGGCTATGATGTACTGATTCATGATCAGTGCATCATAGCCAACAATTCCTTATACAAAGTTCAAAAACTTGGGTGCAATCAGTTCTGTTTGCACCCAAGTTTTTGAACTTTCTCGAGGGAATGAAAGGGTAAGAGGTATACATTATGAATATATACCTCTTACCCTTCCATTCCTCTCTGACAGCGGGAAACTTTGTCTGAATGTTAAACTATTCAGACAAAGTTTCCCGCTGTTTGCGAAGGAATTGTTGGCTATGATGTACTGATTCATGATCAGTACATCATAGCCAACAATTCCTTATACAAAGTTCAAAAACTTGGGTGCAATCAGTTCTGATTGCACCCAAGTTTTTGAACTTTCTCGAGGAATGAAAGGGTAAGAGGTATACATTATGAATATATACCTCTTACCCTTCCATTCCCTCTCTGACAGCGGGAAACTTTGTCTGAATGTTAAACTATTCAGACAAAGTTTCCCGCTGTTTGCGAAGGAATTGTTGGCTATGATGTACTGATTCATGATCAGTGCATCATAGCCAACAATTCCTTATACAAAGTTCAAAAACTTGGGTGCAATCAGAACTGATTGCACCCAAGTTTTTGAACTTTCTCGAGGGAATGAAAGGGTAAGAGGTATACACTATGAATATATACCTCTTACCCTTCCATTCCCTCTCTGACAGCGGGAAACTTTGTCTGAATGTTAAACTATTCAGACAAAGTTTCCCGCTGTTTGCGAAGGAATTGTTGGCTATGATGTACTGATTCATGATCAGTGCATCATAGCCAACAATTCCTTATACAAAGTTCAAAACTTGGGTGCAATCAGTTCTGATTGCACCCAAGTTTTGAACTTTCTCGAGGGAATGAAAGGGTAAGAGGTATACATTATGAATATATACCTCTTACCCTTCCATTCCCTCTGACAGCGGGAAACTTTGTCTGAATGTTAAACTATTCAGACAAAGTTTCCCGCTGTTTGCGAAGGAATTGTTGGCTATGATGTACTGATTCATGATCAGTACATCATAGCCAACAATTCCTTATACAAAGTTCAAAAACTGATTTTCATTTGGCAGATCCACTTCTTGTCTTTCCATTTTTTTTGAATCAATTTATACAAATAAACATATAAAACACAAAATTATTATTTTATAATATAATTCTTAGATAATACATCCGATATGTAAAGTGTCAAAAATGAATTGAACCGAATTTTCATGCATTACAACATCCATCAATAGGCGTAATCTCAGAAAAAGAGTGAATGAAAAAAATTGCAAACATCAAAATGATGGGAATGAAACTTTCGTAAATTGAGAATATTCAATTTTGAATATGTTTTGAATTTATAGTTCTGAAATATCTAGATCTACATAATATTAATATTAAAAATTAATAATAATGAAAATTTTCAGAGTGAAACCTCAAAATGATATTGAATAGAGTATCTCAAAATCAATAAAAGTGACTCAAAAATTTTGAAGCCCACACATATTGATATTAATATATATCATATGTAGATACAGATTTTCTGATATGTTTTTTAAAAGTTTTTTCATGTCTCTCTCAAAATTGAATGAATAGTAATTATAAAATAACAATCTCATTATTTCTTCTTATCGCATTATATATTTTAATAAAATATAATTTACATATTGAGAAGCGACGTTGGGATAAAAATTTCTGAAGTTGACCCATACATGAATTTCTGAATGTTATTATTGGATCCATGATATAGATCTAAACACAAAATCTAAATTTGATGCAAAGTCCTTTCAGAATTTTGTGGGTTTTATTTGTATTTCATTAGTAACACAATTAGAGGATAGTTATTAGTAACTTAGAATTTAAAAAGTGTAAGATTGGCCACAAAATTTTATCAGCATGATTCACTTACTGCATACTAAGCTCTTACATATAGCAAATATTTCTATCTACGATAGATGTGAATTTAACCAGAAAAAAAATCCAATATAAAGCCATGTTTTAAGGGTTTCGTTTTGCGAAAAAAACGTACAATACGCAATTTCGCTAAAAAAACATTTAGCTAGCAATTTCGACCTTTGACTCCACTCAAGACGTCACTTTTTTAATTTTGCGGTATCATATTTTTGGAAAATCTTTATGAATATTATATAAAAAGTCTCTTTAATATCTATATTTCATATTTTTATCGATTTTTAAAGTTTTTGCGAAAAGTATTCAATTATTTTTGCTATTTGGTCGGGTAAATGTCAGATTTGCGACATTTTCTGATATGATATTCAGATTCTACGTTGATAATAATGCTTATAGAACCCTCTTGCTATTGTGTCAAAATTGCGAAACCGATAGCAAAAATATCTCGCAATATCAAAATTGAGATATTGAGTGAATTATGCATTATAGAGATTAAAAATCTGATTTGTGAAAACATCTCATCAGTTTCTAGCTAATTCAAAAATCTTTACTATCTTATTCGATTAAAATGAAAAGGGAATAGTTTCATTATGCTTTAAATGACAGCCTTATAATATAATCATAGTTTTCGCTCAATATGCAGCATTTTTTTTTCGAAATCTATGGTCAATGTCCTAAATACTGATTGCTTTGCATTCATATCTCTTACATTTTCTATACCCACATCACTATTCATTGCTATTCCTATCTTTTTCATTTTTGTTTGTTTCTCATAATTTCTCAAAAAACACGATAACTTGATATTTGTAAATATCATACTTTATAACGTAAATAAGAACTTGACCTATTAAGAAAAGCAGTAATGAAAAGAAAATCTGAAATTCATAAAAATTACAAGTTTCTGATGACAATTAGCTTAATTAAACCAGGTACAAAAAAAAAAAAAAAAAAAAAAAAGGTAGTGGGGCTTCCAGGCACTTCGTGCCTTCTAGCCCTAAGAATTTTTCCCAAGACCCAAGAGGAGGACCGAACCCCAGCCGACCAGCCGTTGACTTTTTTGTCATGATTTCATCGTAAATGTTTTGTCAAACTTCTTCGTAATGAGCGTAAATGACCAAAAATAATGTTTATGTTAGCATGTTAGATCTAACACGTTTTCTAACATGTTTTCTAACATCGTAGAAAACTCATGATTTCATCGTAAATGTTTTGTCAAGACTTCTTCGTAAATGTTTTGTCAAGACTTCTTCGTAAAATGTTTTGTCAAGACTTCTTCGTAAATGTTTTGTCACTTTTCTGTCACTTTTCAGGAAAAAACATTTTTTAATTATTAATATAAATGAATTTTACAAAACCACCGTTACCCTTCTTTGGAAATAAGAGTAAATGTAAAGATATTATATTGAGAGAACTTAAGAAACTACCAAATGGTCTAACATTTGTAGATTTGTTCGGTGGAAGTTTCTATATATCCCATTTGTGCCATACAATATTCCCAGACTCAAAGATTATATGCAATGACTTCGACAACTATATGGACCGTCTCAAAACATATACCAGACACAAACAATATATTGAAAGAGTTAAAAGAAAAGATACCTATAGGTAAGATGGAACGTATACCATTAGATAACAAAAATATTGTGAGAGAGGTTTTGAAAAAAGCAGAATATATAGACTGGGATAGTATATCTGCTAGACTATTATATAGTGGTTCTATAAGAGTTCATGACATCGAAACACTTATGTCAAAAGTTTTATATCTTAACTATACAAATGTTTTCAAAGAGGACATAGAAAAATATATTGAGGGTATATAGAGTTTGTGAGATGTCATTGGACAGAGTTGTATGAAAAATATAAAGACAAGGAAAATGTTTTCTTTATAGTGGACCCGCCGTTCTATAAACACATGGGATTTTCAATACCAAGTAGACTGGACTTTGAGAGACTCTTTAGAAACTTTAGACGTTTTACATAACCATTCCATGCTTTACTTTACATCCGATAAAAGTGGTTTGGAAACCGTTATGAGATGGTTAGAGGACATACATGACTATGAGTTAGATATGACAAGATTAGAGTATGAGAGAGGTCCCATAAACTGAGAAAGTGTCATAACAAAGAAATTTTACTAGTAAGTAAATGTGGTTTGAAATAGGACTACTTGTTTTAGGTTTTTTCCATTGTGTCATTTATTTATTTGACGTGGCAGAAAAATACAGAGAATATGAAGATGAACCAATGCCTGCAAATGTCCAGTATATGTACTCGTAAGAGATATTTTTATCTAATATTAAATGGACGCACAGAACTTAGCGAATGCACAGCAACCTGGACAACCAAACCCAGAGAATATTCCAAATGAAGTTAGAATACAAACTGCAATGGCAAACTATGGTCAAGTGCCAACAGATGTACAAATGCAAACTGCCATGTCAAATGACGCTGCGTTAGGTTTGCCACCATGGTATGCAAATATGAGATGGAAAGAGTTTTATACAAACCCTGAAGTGGGATATAAACAACTTTATGCAGATGACGCGAACACAGGAGTTGACCCAGAATATGTTTTCTACCAGAGGAGAAACAGAATGTATGAGCTCCAGTTAAAGAATGCTATGGAACTCAACAGGAAACGTAAGAGACTAGGCGGACATTAGATTTTTACATATAGTAAAATGGGTTTCTTTGGAAGAATAGGAAACTTCTTCAGAAGAGTTGGAAGAGGTATATGGAATGGAATAAAAACCGTAGGAAGAGGAATTTGGAACGGAGTCAAAAATATTGGTAAAAGAGTAGGTCAGTTTGTTGGTATTATACCTAAAGACCCTGAACCAGAAGAACAAGCTCCTGTTATACAACAGCCTGAACCTGCACCACAGTCTAGTTGGCAACCAAATCCAACACCTCAACCGTATTAAAAAATTATATTTTTACCGTTCGATAGTAGTTGTATATGAAACTAAGTTCTAAGTAAAACGCATGGTATAATGGAATTATTCTCTTTCTTCCATCTGTTGTAAACCATACTTGAAAGTCTGAAATACTTCCACTCGGCGGTTCATATAGCTTTGTAGGTTTTTCGTAAAAGTCATTTGCCAAGCATAAGAAAGAGTTTTGTGCACCAGAAAATGAAGCATGAACTATAATAGCATCTTGGTCGAAAACATTTTCATATGTTCCATTAGGGTTTTCGACTTCATAAAAGTTCGGGTGTACTGGATATGCTGCAGGCTGATTTAACATCCTCAAAAATCTATACCATGCCAAGTTGTTATATTTTGTAGAAATATAAACGTTTTCTCCAAGGTCTTCTATTCTATTGATTTTAACAGTTGCATTTTTCCTGTCATATATAATATCGAGATGGTACTCTCCTTCGTCAATGTTGTACTGTTTTGCATATTCGAGATAGATATCGTTTATTTTTTCTTGAAAAGCTTGAAGAGTTGTTTCTAAGTTTACAAGCAAACTAACTTGTAAAAGTTTTCCCTGTTCAAATTTCTCATACATACGTTTTTCTTTGTTATAGTATCGAACTTCAAAACCGACCGTAAATGGGAAACCATGTATGGCTTCTGAAATGAACTTCATTCTACGAAAGCCAACAGCTTTTGTGACAGATGGGTCTCTTAACCATCTTAACGGGTAGTCAAAACGATAGCCTTCATGCTTTACGGTCTCTGTCTCAAACTTTTGACCGACATTCGTAAAAAGTTCATCTAATGGTTTAGTTGTAGCAACTCTTGAATTTTCTTTTTCTATTGAAAGCATATTTTATCTAGAATAAAAATGTCAAATGAAACAGCGTCTATGAGAGAAATACAACACAACCGACAACTCATTATACAAGCTCTAAATAAGAACACAACAAACTTTTCAAACTATTCTAAGATATCTGAGTCATTGAAAGAAGGAAACTTAAAACTGACATTAAACCCAATGACAGATGAGTTTCTGTTTCAAGACAATAAGAACCATACTGTTTGTATAAATCCAACAAAAGGAACTTTAAACGAGAAACCTATAGATGAACTTCTTTTGAAAGCAGATGTTGACAACAAAGCTGACAAAGAATATGTAGACGATGCAATAGCAAAAGAAGAAGAAAGAGCTAACAATGCTTATGCAACAAAAGAACATACTCATCCTGAACTAGCAGACAAAACATATGTTGACAATAAAATGTCAAGTGAAGTGACAAGAGCTGAAAACGAATATTCTAAAAAGACTCATATACATTCTATATCTGATATTACAAACTTACAAGAAACCTTAAACATGAAAAGTGCCGTTGGACATACACATTCTATATCTGAAATAACAGACTTAAACGTTAGCCTTGAAAAGAAAGCAGATAAGGAATGGGTGGCTAGTGTGTTAGTGAAGAAGGCGGATAAGGAATATGTGGATGAAAAAGATAACGAAATGAAAGAAAGGGTTGAATGGTACCATGAACGGACATCGAAGATTTTAAAAGGTAAAGCCAATACAGGATGGGTTTCAGGATGTTTAGACCTTAAAGCAGATAAAACTTATGTTAACGATGAGTTAGAGAAGAAAGCTGACAAGAACCATACACATACAAGTTTTACAACTGTTGCTATAGAAAGTATTGAAGGAACGGTTGAAGAAACTGGTGGGGATGTATTATATTGGAAACCTCCTAACTTTCCACAAGGTTTAACATCGGATGACGACATAACGACGATGTTAAACATTAGATGTAAAGATGTTTATGTCATGAAGGATGAACATAATATTAAATTCACTGCTCAAGATTTATATGACAAGAAAGCAGACAAAACAGAGCTTCAAACATTAAAGACAGAAATACTTCAAACAGTATATCCTATAGGTTCTATTTATACGTCAATGAACTCTACCAGACCAGAAACAGTTCTGGGTTTTGGAACTTGGACTCAAATAGTCGACAGGTTTTTGTATTGTGCAAACTCTTCAAAGGAAACAGGTGGAAGTAAAACGATTTCAGGTGAAAATTTACCTGCGCACAGTCACTACATAGATTTAAGTACATCTCAAGCAGGTTGGCATAAGCATAGATATTGGGATTGGCACAGCTTGACAAAAGGTAAAGGATATGATGTTAAAGACAACGTTAAGTTTGCTATAGATTGTTACTGGAGTAACACTGAGGGAGGAGGAAACCATACACATCGCGTTTCGGGATATACGCAAACAACGGGACAAAGTAAAGACTACATGCCACCTTACATGACAGTTTACGCATGGTATAGAATTGCTTAGTCGTCATGTTCCACTTCTTTAGCATATTCGTCAGGAGTTGTCTTATATTGGTTAGGAACTGTCTTTGAAAGTATACCACCTTGAACTTTGACAAGTTTGAAACGAGGTCTGACAATAGTAGTTTTATCTTCTGCTTGCAGTCTGTACATTTTGCCATGTTTGCCTAAAACTTCATAATATTCTCTTGTATACTTTCTCTATTTTTACGAACACGAATGTGAGTACCTGTCGGGTACTTGTTGTTGTCATAGTCAATAGTATTTTCATATGGGTCGCGTTTAGGTATTTCTATTTTTACTTTGTCACCTTTCTGAAGTTTGAAGCCTGGCATTCTTTCTTGTTTGTCTCTTTTGACTAAATTATTAAATATAAAGTCTTTCTCTAAGTCAGGGTTGTTTTTCATTTCTTCGGGGGAGTGGTTTCCCAAACCTTTTTGTTTACGGCTATTGTAAATATTTAAAACTTGTCTCATCTTTGCCATGGAGAAGTGTCTATATTTGTCGTCATATGACATTTCATCTACCTCACCACCTTGTGGTTGGTTTAAGTCTCTTAAGATTTTTATACAACTGTCAATGACACCAAGAGCAGAATGGTTTTGGTCGACAATGAAATATTGGTTTACATTTTTTGAACGCAGATAGTTTTTTACATCGTCTGATTTGAAAGAACTTTCTTGGTCAGATGTTAGTTTTGTTGGATGGTATTTGTCAACGAATATTGTCAAAGCTGCTAAGACATCTAAAATATTTTTGGACTGTAATGGTATGGCTTCACAGTATCTTGTGTTTTGACCGACAAATATTAGCCAGTATGGTGGTCCATCTGTTCTAACTCTCGGAATGTTTTCCAAGATATCCATAAACCAAGCATTTGGTGTTGAACTAAAGATTTTTATCATGAGTGCTTTCTTTGTCGCTTTAGAAACATAGGGGTCCTTGTTTGGATTCGTCATTTTTTAACCCATAAGAAATGGGTTTATTTGGCGCATTAGCAGGAGTTGCATCCAGATTTTTGCCCGCAGTGGGAACAATAGCCAGAGGTGTATTTGGAGTTGGAAGGAAGATTTTGAGTACATTAGGTATACTTAAAGAGAAAGCACAACCTATTATACAAACTGTACAGAAAGGTTGGGATGTAGCACGAGATGCAGCAAATCTTATTCCAAATCCTGAAACAAGAGGAAAAGTTCAAGGATGGATGGACAATGTAGGAAGACAAGCAGGAAACTATTATAACAAAGCAAATGACTACTATAACCAAGCAGGACACTATATGGACCAAGGTGAAAGATTCTTTAACAGAGGATATAACCATGCACAACAATGGGTAAACAATAACCAACCGCAACCACCTCAAACTTGGGGAATGTAAAATTTTTTACTGAGATGAAATGAACAATACAGCATTGAGACAAATGGGTTCAAGATGGATTTGTCGACTTCCAGCAGTTACACAACCACGTGTTTGTCAAGTTCTTCCTATACCTCAGGAAGTTTTAGACCGACTTAAAAAACAACAACAACCAGTTGAAAACAAACCAAACTAAATTTTTTTACTGAGATGAAATGACGGAAGAAGTTGAAACGGTAGATTTGACACCACAAACAAAAAGTTCAGAACCATTGTCAAAACCTGTCAAAGAACTTACAGATGAAGAGAAAAATTCAATAATAGAAGGTGCAAGGTCTGGAAATACAAACCCTAACTATAAAGTCACTTTTCATAGAAATGGAACGGCTAGTATCTCAAAAAAGAAACAGACTCTCACAAATAAAATATTGAAGTCTGAAGGAGCTTTCGAGACAACAGATGGAAAAGTTTACTTCACTGACCAACAGTTCATTATAGAACATCTCATTGACTTAGAGTCGAAATATTCTAAACTTTACAACAAACACAAAAAGTTGAAAGGAAAACAAAAACAAATGGCATATGATATTTATGAAGATGTTGACGACACAACCATACCTGCAAGTGAAGTAAAGTCAAAGGAACCGAAAAGTGACGAAAAACCAATAGAAGAAGAAGGTGAGCCAAAAACTGAAGATAAACCAAAACCAAAGTTTAGTTTCCAAACTAAACCAAGTCAACCTTCATTAGCTGGTATGGGTTGGCGTCAAAGACTTATGGCAGCCGGTGGTTATGTAAAGTAAAGAAAAAAATATTTTTTTATTTTTATAAAAATGCCCCCATATAGAATGGATAGAAAATCTGCTAGAATAAAAGCAGAGTTGCAAAGATATGGTTGGAGCGTTTCGAAGAATTTTAAATATAGGAAGGGAAGACCCATAAAAGTCTATGACAAATTGTCTGGTCTTCGCTACGAAATGGATTTGGAAACAGCACGTGCCAATTATCCAAACAGACTAGAGAGGTTAGAAGAAGAACGTCTTATGGACATGCCTTTCGATGTTAGTGAACCTCAAGTTGAAGGACACGACGGCTTTGCCAGATTCTACTGGAAACATGACGAACAATTGCATCCTTTGAGAAGGAAAAAAGGAAAAGGTGAAGACACACATGCTCCCATGGAAAGAACAAGATATGCATATGAGAAGTATCGTGAAGTTAGAAGTCAAATTACATCTGGTCGAACCTTTACAGTAAACTTTGACGAAGGAAAGAACAAAGAAGGCTTCATGGGTGTACTTGCTGCAATTCAAGACGGAAATAAGAAAGGATACAATCTCAGACTAACCGTAACAGATTTAGATGGTCATATATACTATGCACATGGCAATGTCACAACAGCCGCACAACTTCTTGACGCTTTCAAGACTACAAAGAGAGAACAAATGGTTGACTCCGACTCAGACATTTTGAATGCAATTGAAGGAATTGCAAGTGTCAAGTTCGAATGGTACCAACCTAACCCTCAAGCAGTCAGACAACATGCTGGATACTTCCCGTTCATAAATAAGTCTGACATTGACTTGACAAGGTATGGAATTTACAATTCAATTGAAACAATTGTCAATGAACCTTGCATTCTTACATGTCTCAGGAACTCTGGTCTTGTTACAGATGAGAAAATGAAGTATCTTGAGTCATGTGTGAAGACAAGGTACATTCTCAGAGGTCAATTGGCAAAAATTGCACCGTTGGCAAATGTCAATATCCGAGTCAACATACCTACAGCTAAAGGTTCTTCACATGACGACTATGTTGTTGACTTCAAATTGCCATGGTTGAAGATTGTAATTGTCCACAACCACTTCATGTTGAACGAAAGTCTTACAAACCCATTGTTCGGAAAAGGCAAGTGCAACATTGTCAGAGCTGTAAACATTCTTTTCGAGAAAGGTTTGTTGGAACCAATTCCAGATGACAAGCTGACAGAAACTTTTGTACCAAAAGACGAAACAAACTTTTCACTGTTAGCAAGACCAAAAGTTGTTCCAGACAAAGTTCTAGTACAAAAGAAGTACACAATTCCACAAGGAGTTGGATTGTTCGGATACCAACCTGAACCAGAAGAACTTCCAATGAGGTTGCAAGAACTTCAAGATGCTATAAACAAACTTCCATTGAGACATCCAATTGACGTCAAATTGTATTGGAGAGCATCTGAGTTAGGTCAGAAGGTTTTATATGAAACAGGTTGCTTCGACGATGTTTATGAGATAACAGGAGAAGTTTCTCAGAAGATAAGAGACTCACTTGAATTTCCACGAACTGGACCCATAGGTTGCGACAAGTTCGACTCAAACGAAAAGATATACTATGTCGACCTTAACGCTGCGTACATGAAGTTTGTCCAATATATTCCAACTGGAATTCCAAACGAAGATGGTGAGTTCCCTGGAAGGAACTATACAGTTGGAAAAGTCATACAACAACTATATGATATTAGGAAAGCTTCAAACCCCAAACTTGCAATGACACTCAAATTGCTTATGAATTCGACATGGGGATATTCCATTAAGAAACCTCAAGAGATGAAGAGTAAACATTATGAGAAGGTCGACAACTTTGTTGAAAGGTTTTCTCCTTTTGTTTTGAAGTACGAGTTCACTCAAGGTCAAAGTGGCTTAGTAACCACATTAAAACCTATTGTCGAACATTGGTCTTACCCTCAGTTCGCAAAGGCAGTCCTTGACAACTACAACAAATTCTTCTCCGAAGTCAAATCCAAAGTTGTGGTTTACTATGAGAACATTGACGCACTCATGATGAACGAAGAAGGATACAACAAACTCATTGAAATGGGTATGGTCGGTGAAAAGATGGGCTGTTTTAAGCTAGATAAGGTATTTTCAGAAGTTCATGTAATATCGAAAAGGAAATATTGGGGCATACTTGAAGACGGCACAGAAATAAAACATTGCATGAAGTAAAAAAATTATTTTTTAAAAAGTGACATTTTTTTATTTTATTTGAAATGTACGCTGAGTTTGTTGGAGAAGACCGTTGGGAAACTTGTTTGTTAGATGAGAAATATGAAATGGCATACCATTTTAAAACAGTATATTTTTACATATATTAAATGTTTCAGGTTGAAAAACAAAGAACAAAAGTAGCAGATACAAAACCGTTAGACTATATCTTTACAAACGCTGGTAGGACTGTATCAGATGAAGAAATTTCATCCCGTTCATACAGGTTTGACTATCCAATTCGTTGGCTTCAAAGTCCTTCAGAAGCAAAGGCAATAGGATTTAGAAGAGTTTTGTTTTCAAATAGAACTAACGCATTTATGTTCGCAGTAGATTTTCATGGGCAGTATAAAGGTTCTGATGGTCTAATAGACAAATTTGACGAAATGAGAATCTTTACGGTTCGTTCAGACGAAAGTCTTGAGAAAACTCTAAATGACTTTCAAACTCAAATAAACAAATATTATTGGGAATTTCAAGAAAAATACGACTCTTTACTAAACGGAACGTACTATCTGAAACTAGAATACGATAAGATGAACTCCACCGTTTCATTTCAAAAGATTGAAATTAACCCTCCAAGAGATACACAGTTTTTATTTTGGCAAGTAGACAAACGTTCTTGGGCACAATTTCTTCGGTTACTAAACCAGAACGAACCATTACCACCTGACGGTCCTTTTAAATTTATACTTCCACCAGCAGATTTGACAGTTTATAGAAACGTGTTCGACCCTCAAAATGTTATGTGTCATGCAAGTTTCAGTTCAAGCAACAATAGTTTTCTATGTATTGGTAAGGACTTTTATGACTTTGCTTCTAAATTCTACGAACCACCCAGTAACAGTTTCTCTGACTTTCAAGTTTGGTTCACAGCAAACGGTGTGCAACATATTATTCCATTGTACTATGACTTTTATCTCGAATTGTCTTTCATATATAACTACGGAAAAGTGCTGAAAAAGTATTGAAAAATAATGTTTAGGGTAGAAGGTTAGATCTAACCTGTTTTCTAACCTGTTTTCTAACATGGTCTAAAACTCTTGAAATTTCATGAATTTTGTGCTGAATTCGACAAAAATGAGTTTTTGGTTGAAAAAAGAGGTGGAGCCAAAAATGGCTCGACCTCAAAACAAGCATTTTGTGAAGAATATACCAACCCGCGGAAAACAGCGGGTTGCTTTTTATACAAAGTTCAACAGGTGAATTTCCATGAATTTCCTTAAGATAGACAAAAATATATTTTAGGCGACCAGGTCACTCGGTCACTCGGTCACTCGGTCATTTTAACTTCTCTGAAAAAGTGTGACAACATGACATTTTGACAACAACACAGGAAATAAACTTCTTCGTATATGTTTTGTTGAGACTTCTTCATCGTAAATGTTTTGTTGAGATTTCATCGTATATGTTTTGTCGAGATTTTTATCGTTGGTGGTCCGACGGTTAAGCCACAAACGAATGTCCGACGTCCCACCAAAAAATATTTTTTATTTTTATTGTAAGAACAGTATGACAGTCGAAGCAAAAACGTTCACGAACAAATCTAATGGCGAAACATTCACAAAAGGCACTTACAACGGTATTGAAGTCTTACGTAGAGACAAGGATGGTTATGTAAATGCAACAAATATGTGTCAGCAGTTTAGGAAAGACTTTAGAAAGTTGTTGGAAAATAAGTCCTGGGAAGAGTATTATAAGGCATTTTGTGAAGAATATACCAACCGCCGGAATTCCGACGGTTGCTTTTTATACAAAATTCATGCAGGAATTCCTGATGAAATCAAACAGGTTAGAGGAACGTATGTAGACCCAAGACTTGTAAACTATATAGCAATGTGGGCTTCTCCAAAATATTGCATAGCAGTTGGAAAAATTATGGACTCCATAGACAAGAAAGTTCATGAGAAGTTAGATGAAGAAGAACTCGAAGATACAGTAGAGAATGCAAAACCTTTGTTCGAAGAAGAAGTTAGAAAAATGCATGAAAAACAAATAGAACATGAACGTGAGATATGTTCTGGTTATAGAGACTCGCCATACGAACTAGACCAATGGGAACAAGAAGATTTAAAGAGAGAATTTAGAGAATATGAACTCGCTAAGATAGCATTAGAAGCTGCAGCAAAGAAGTTAAAAGTTTGGGGTTGTTTTGTACAAAAATATTGTGAGTAAATGAACCATTTTTTTGGCAAAAATAATGTTTATGTTAGAATGTTAGATCTAACATGTTTTCTAACATGTTTTCTAACATCGTAGAAAACTCATGAAAACAATTTATTTTTGACCTAAAGACGCAAAGCGGTGGGACATAGCCCAAAAAATAAAGTTTATGTTAGAATGTTAGATCTAACACGTTTTCTAACACGTTTTCTAACATCGTAGAAAACTCATGAAAATCATGAATTTCTTCGTATATGTTTTGTCAAAACTTCTTCTTCGTAAATGTTTTGTCGAAACTTCTTCATCGTAATGAGTGTAAATGACCCAAAAATAATGTTTATGTTAGCATGTTAGATCTAACATGTTTTCTAACATGTTTTCTAACATCGTAGAAAACTCTCGAAATTCATGAGTTTTGACACTTTCACAAAAAACATAAAAAATAAAGTTAGTATTTTTAAAAAAATATTTTTTTATTTTTATTGTAAGAACATGTTAGCAACAACTTCACCAAACTCTTTAGTTATGAACCCAACTTCAATGTTAGTAGAGATGAAAAGCTTCATTCCTTCTTCATATACTTTTGAGACAGAAATCCAGAAGATAAAGCAAGAACTTCTCCAAGGAGATTTAGATTGCACTGCAAAAGATGAAACAAATGAAGAATATCTTTATGAAATGCAGGACCTCATCGACCATTTGCCTAAACTTCCTGAAATACAACAACAAAAGCTCACTATTCCAGAATTCGATGAAATAGAAGTAAAAACAACCGACTCGGTAGAAATAAAGAAGTTCATACGTAAGGTTAACTATGAGTTTCTAGGATTTCATTGCAACCATAAGGTTATGGACAAAGATTGCGACATGGTATATAAGAACATCTCTGACATATATAAATCTGGGGAGTTTAAGACCTACGACAACTTTGTTTCGTTAGTTGCTGAATGTGTATGGCAGATAAGAGATAAAGATAGAAGAGGTAAAGTATGGAACGAACAGATAAAACCAGCAACTTTTGAATTTAAGAGGACCATTGACGCTATAGTTGTACTTGCAGGACAAATTTCAATGTACAATGCTAAAATGAACCCACAATGTTCTAAATGTAAAGCAGCAATGAGGAAATATAACTACTCCGTCAAAGAGATAGAACGTATGCGAAACGACTATGCTGACTTAAAGAAAGAAGTAGAGAAACCAGCAGAAGATAAAATGGACATGTTAGCATTTCTGAACAAAAACTATCCAACTGCAGAAGATTTCCTTTTATCTGACGTCAAGAAGAAGTATAAAGAAACTTTCGGTATCGTTAAAACATTCGATGTACTGACAGAAGAAATAGAAGCTACAAAATTGTTTAGAGTCATGAACCATCGCAACATATACCATGTAAAACGCTTGTAAATAGTTATGTTAGAAAACATGTTAGAAAACATGTTAGATCTAACATTCTAACATAAACATTATTTTTGCTGAATTCCGTATGAAATTTCATGAGTTTTGTGTGTTTTAGACCATGTTAGAAAACATGTTAGAAAACATGTTAGATCTAACATGCTAACATAAACATTATTTTTACTGAATTCCGTATGAAATTTCATGAGTTTTGTGTGTTTTAGACCATGTTAGAAAACGTGTTAGAAAACATGTTAGATCTAACATTCTAACATAAAATATATTTTTATTGAATTCCGTATGAAATTTCATGAGTTTTGTGTGTTTTAGACCATGTTAGAAAACGTGTTAGAAAACATGTTAGATCTAACATTCTAACATAAAATATATTTTTGCTGAAAAATGACCAAATTTCATGAGTTTTGTGTGTTTTAGACCATGTTAGAAAACGTGTTAGAAAACATGTTAGATCTAACATGCTAACATAAACATTATTTTTACTGAATTCCGTATGAAATTTCATGAGTTTCCTTAAGATAGAAAAAATAAAGTTAGTTTTATTTTTATTTATTTTTTTATTTTGTATGTAAAGACAGATATGTCAACAACAGAGAACACAACAACAGTTATAGTCCATGAAGCTATAAATGAAGAATACGAGTACATACAGTTTAACAAACAACTCCGTCTCATTCGTTCGGTCAAAGATGACATGTACCAAATGCAAAGTATTTTGAATGCTCTTCGTTCTACAAAGCAAGCACGTCATTGGTTTGAAAACCAACAGACAAAAGAACTTTTAGAAGAATTTCCTCATATGTTTGCGACCGGTAGAAAACCGCGGGTCGAGATTCCGTATGAAAATCGTGAAAATTTGCCAAATGGTTTGAGAGGCTGGTATGTACATAGACTTCTTGTAAATGCTGTTGCAATGTGGGCTTCGCCTCGTTATGCTTGGTATGTTTGTAAACTTCTTGACGAAATTCATAGACAAGAACGTGAAGAGCTAGAGAACAAGCTTGAAGCAAAAGACAAAAGCATTCAGAAAAGAATACCACGTTCGGTACCAAAAGGAAAGGAAAAGAACTATAAGTATATGATTTATACTGAAGAGATGGAAAATGAAGAAGATAAAGATATGGTTATGTTGCATTTAGTCAGAAGAAACAACAAAAGCTTTTACGACCTTGCTAAGATTTACAAATCTGACAGAAATTGGTTCTATCGCGAAAACTTACCGATTTCAATGACCCCAAATGAAGATGTGAAACAAATAGTTCAAGATACGTTACCTCAAACACACTATGATATGAAAGGTTGTACAATACTTACCTTCAAAGAAGATTTGCCATTGTTAAAGGAAAAAATAACAGAGTATTTTGACAACTTCAAACAAGCAGGGTAGATGCACTCTTTATTTTTCAAGCTTGACACCAAAGATGGCTCAGGTAGCTCTATAAGGTAAATTGTCTTGTCAAATCCTTCTGGCATTCCGAGTCCTTCCATCCGACATTCCGAGTCCTTCCTTCTGGCATTCCGAGTCCTTCCTTCCAACAGGAAAAAATTTTCCATCCGACAGGAAAAATTTTTCCAGTTGTTCGTCCGTAAACCATTCAAATTTTCGAAAATTGAGAACTTTTTGGTCGAACTTCAGAAAAAGTTTTTCCTTCCAACAGGAAAAAAATTTCCTTCCAACAGGAAAAGTTCTTCCATCCAACAGGAAAAGTTCTTCCATCCAACAGGACACAAACGAATGTCCGACATTCCTCTTCCTGAATGTCTTCCAAAGCCAGAAGAACCGACAGCCCCAGCACCACAACAGACTAAGACTAAAACACTTACATTTTTCAAGCTTGACTTTTTACAATTTGAACTTTGTTTGCGTAGATATGAATTCTGAAAGAAGTATGAGGGTCTTGTATGACTTTATACTTCTCCCATAGTTCATGTCTGTCAAACTTACCTGCCATGGACTCTTTCATAAGTTCCATGAAATCGTCTTCTGACAATCCTGGGAAAAGTATAATGTCAGTAAGTATTCTCTTTACATCCTTACTTAAACTCTTGGCTGTCTGTACACATATTACGACTGAAATGTTAAAGTGTCTGAGCTTCTTAAGAATTCGACACATATCTTGTTCTCTGTTCTTTAACAAAGGATGAGAGGCGAAATCATCTAAGATAAGAAGACATCTGTGAGGGTACGTTTTCCAATCGTAAGATTGCAATTTCTTCGAAATGTATTCTATCTCTTTCTGTTTGTTTCTGAAGTGTTTCTTCTCTAATATTCTCTGCATTTCCTCATTTGGGTCTTTAAACTTAGAATTTATATACTCATTTATAGCATTGTACTTCAAAACTCTTCTTTGGTACTTCTTTATCCAATCTAACAACTCAGAGTCTTTTATACATACTAACTTAGACTTCTTTATAATATTTTTGAACGAATTGACGGTTTGATCGAATTGACCCGAAGTACTACAAATAACAACTAACTCATAGAATGGGTTCTTCTCATCTAGTTCTTGTTGTTGTGCAGCCATTTTAAGATAAGTGAAAGTCTTACCCGACCCAGGTGGTGCAATTAGACCTGTTATACCATTCTGAGCAAATAAGAACTTGTCATGTATAGGTTTTATCTGAGCATTTTCTAATTTCTTCTTGTTCTTCTTCAAAACATTCTCAAATTTTTTGTCAATGTCAGCAAACTTTTTTTCTAACATATTTTTAGAAAAATTAAAATTTTTATCTTTTAGAAAATGTCTAGCGATTTCGCCATCTATATTCGAGACAAGCTTTTCGACAGCAAAACATCTGTCGACCATAAAATCTTACATAGTGTAAACAAGAAAGGTGAATTTGTTCTAAAGTTCTGTTTCTGGGAATATGACAAGAACCATAAAACATTAAGCAGAGAAGTCTTAAAATTTGTCAATGACAGACTTGTTGACAGAGATGACGCCTCTTGGAGAGATGAAGTCCAACAAAAGTTCTTAGAATGCAAAGAAGACACATGCGCTGTTCTTGAAGATGAAATAGAAAACAGAATAGAAGAGCTATTAAAGGACAAAGAACTTTTACAGAAATATGGTTGCGCCAAATTTGACATAACTCCACCAGAAAAGAAGAAGAAAGGAAAGAAAGAGAAAAAAGTAGAAGAGAAGAAAGAACCTGAACCTGAACCAGTTCCAGAGAAGGTGAGATATGACATGTAAAAATAAAATTTTATTTTTAGAACATTTCTGGGTCAATGTCAATGTTCTCTTCCTCTTTAGGAGCAAACACTGGCTTAGACTCTAAAATCTTTTTACCTAATTTACCTTGAACTTCAACTATCTTAGACTCATAATATTCATAGTCGTCTGTCTTCTTTGGTTCATAAGGTATAACAAGTTTGTATGCTTTGCCTTCTTTAAGGTTTGAGAACTTTCTGTCAAAATTTTCTTTGACTGCTAACAAACCTTCTATGTCTAAGTCTTCAAATTTTGCACCATTTTTAGTCACAATAGCAAACTTAACTGGTTCGATGTTCCAAACTTTGCTGAATGAAGACTTTTCAAAATGGTAGAAGTAAACATTCAAATATGCGAATGGGTCTAGTTCTTCTTTGACTTCTGTCATGTACTTGTTTACTGAGATGAATTTTGCCATCTTTTCTATCGGATAAAAAAAATATTTTTTTAAAATTTACTCAGAAAAATTATTTCTTTCTATATTTGCCATTCCGAACTTCGAAAAGATGTTTTATACCAGCATAGAATTTTTCTCTAGAGCTTGGTCTTATATCGTTTTCATAACAATATTTTCTATATTCTTCATATAAAGCCTTTTTTTCATACATTTCATAAGGACAGCCTAACCAGAACAGCGCATATCCATTTCCGTTATCTAGGTCTCTATATGTTTCTTCTGTTTGTAGAATTTCGCTTTCTCTATTTAGTTCTATGTCTATATATTGTGGCTTAAAAAGATGTGGGCAAGAAGGGTCTGGCGCTATGTAAAAAGTTAATTTTTCTGTCATCTTTTCTTCAGAATAAAAAAATATTTTTTTAAAATTTACTCAGAAAAATTTTTCTTTGTATATACGCCGTTCTGAACATCTAAAAGATTTTTGACATTTGCCAAGAATGTTCGTTTAGACGCTGTCATATAACCATACTCTTGACAATATTGTTTATACGAGTCGTACAATGACCTTTCATCTAAACACTCAAAGTCAGTTTCATCTATGAACAGTTCATATACACTCTTGTTTGCTTCTAACAATGTTTGTCTCTCTTCGGTATATGGAATTTGTCTTGGATTGAACTTAGAAATATCTAATGTCATAAAATATGAGAACAAGTGGTTGTAAAAGTCAGATGTCAAAGTTTCTGACAAAGCGTCAAAATATTCTGTATCTTGCATATGAGCTTCTGACGTTCTGACAACTACATATCTTCTGTCAGAACTTTCTAACTTCATCGGAACAGCATTGTTTGAAACCATAATGAAATTTGCAACATTTTCACAAACTCTTTGGTCTTTATATTTTCTTTCAACAACTCCAACTTTGTCTGTTATAAGACTCTTCAAAGCATCTGAGTTTAAAACTTTTGTTGTATCTATACTTTGAAGTTCATTGCAAACTATAAGTTTCATATTCTCTATTGAGGAGTTAAACTTGCCACAGATGTTTTCTAAGTTTGTCATATTAGGGTTCGAATAGCCCTCTAACAGTTTGCATAAGATATCTGTAAAGAAAGTGTTCTTACCAGTTCCTTGTTTTCCAATTATAATGAGAGCAGTTTCATTTTTAGCACTTGGATGTTGTAAGATGTTTGCAAACCAACATAAGATATACTCATAGACTCTTTCGTTTCCATTGCATATAATTTCTTTGACATGGTCTAACCAAGCTTCTATAATATTTTCTTTCCATTCTACTTGTTCGTATTTATATCCAGTGAAGATAGAATAGAAGTTTGGAGAAGGTGTATAAAACTTTATACCACGAACTGAAAAATCTT